ATATCCCGAGCACTCAATTTAATTAAAACTAGTCTCTGAATAAGTTGCAATTTTACAGTTTAACAGCCCAGTCCTGCTGGTAGTGGCCATCACACTATGGGTTATAAATCAATTCAAACTCAGTGCATTGACATTTTCTCAATCAATTAGGAAATTCAAAAAAAACATTTCATTAAACGGTCAATTCTGGGTCAACTATGACATCAGAGGAAAAGTCCATATTTAGAAAATTAGAGAATCATCCTTCTGGTGACCTCAAGCTCTGGTTGGCTTTGGCGAATATTAACTAAAGTGAATGTAGAAACAAATCCATAGGGTTGTACCATTATAACAGTACCCTGACTTTACCCTTGGAATGTGTCCACCAATTGGGATAAATAACTCTATACTAGTATAACCATCTAATAAGGATGCATCCGACAACTCTTGGCATTTTCATATTAGATACTGAGCCTTTATATTGCATTGGAGAATTGAGGCAATAAGTTATATGGCAAACACACAGACTTGAGATGGCCTTTGATTGCTTCATTAGATTTATGTATAATGAAATCCCCTATTAAATCAGGGAATAAACAACATTAAGAATTTTATGAGGGCCTATACCTGCATTAACTGGCAATATCAATACTATTGATGGTAGAATGCGAGATATTGACACATAAGGATAAAATCCCAATACAGGCCATGAACTGCTGTCATATCAAATTGAAAATATTTCCAACATAATGGAAAGTTATCATAGAAACCAAAATTCTTCATTTAGGAATGTTCCTATGGTTCTTATTTTTCAAATGTTATCTTGTTATATTGTGCAGGGTTGTCCAAAAAAGTGAACCCTTGCAACAAGCTATATCTCAGTTATTACCCAAACTTATGTGTTAATATTCTCACATGGTTTAGAGGAAGGTCTAAGGTTTTTGTGAGTACCATGAAGGTCACTTTTAAGAAGAATGCATTAGAAATACAAAATACCCCTAGATATGCTGGTTAGAGCAGTGAACAACTTCAAACATTCGCGTTGTAGCAGTCATCCAAAACAATGGAGCATTGATTGAGGACATCATCCAGAAATCAGGTATGTCTGTTGATGCCATGTAACTTCTGCTAGATATAAAAATGAGTGACATTTATGGAACCCATAAAAACTTTAGACCTTCCTCTAAAACATGTGAGAATGTTAGCCCATTAATGAGAGTAATAAATGAGATATAGTTTGTTGCAAGGGTTCATCTTTTTGGACCACCCTGTAGAATGTTGCAGAATCAAACAATATTGTTATAAGTCTAGAAGATGAACCTCACATAAGGCATTAACATGACAAAATGTGATCACTTTGGAAGTTACTGGAAATGGTTACAAAAGTGTTACAATTTGTTACAGACACCAAACGCCAAAAGGTTAAAAAAGGTCAGAAAAATGTGACTGATTAAATTTGTTCTTGGTATCATCTCAGTGGAAATCTCCACTGAAAAATGTAAATCATTATCATGGATGAAAAATTAATGTTGTTATGAATAATACTGATGCACTATTTTCTTCAGCAAGTCTAAAAATAGGGGAGGGGTAAAAATCTGATGGTTCTGTTAGAAAACACTGATCTTTAAAAGGAATTAAATTTGAGAAAAATCAATGAATGTTAAAGATACATTTAAGGGGGGGATATTGAAATGTAATTACATTTAGAGACATCCATATCAAATCATTGACTTGGTCCCTAACTAAGTTTTGCAATTAACCTTGGGAGTAAATAATAATGAAAAATGTGTTACAATAGGATGGAGGGAAAAAATGATGGTCATTTATATAAATCCCTACCCAAATGGCATTAATCCAGGTATAAGCTGCCAATTATGGGGTTTAAATTGATATATCCCGGGATAATCTATAATAAATCTCTAGAAATGCTTCAATAAATTTATATTAACTGACCAATCACAATAAAAATACAAGCACTTAGTTAGCTATTCTTCCATAAGACCGTTCAACAAAAATTTTACAATGAAATCTTAATTTTCCAATTTTTTTATCCTTAAAAAGTCAAAAGAGATTTTACTCCTGTTAGACAACAGAATTAAGATTTCATTTGAAATGAAGATTTACTTTCAAGACTTGTAAAAACAGCACAGAAATCATTTTGAACATAACATTATGTAGTTATAACATATCATTTGAGTAACTGTACTACCTGGATGGACAAACGTACAAACTGATAGATAGCAGGTTGCAGCTCATATTGTTAGCTTGAACATATTTTTGTCCTTTTTTCTTTTTGTTCTTCTATTATTTGGTATTTATTCTGCATGTCATTTCAAGATTCATTTTATTCTAATTTGCCATATCAATCCACTGTGTCCTGGCCAAACGGACATTTGTTCTATGAAGAATAGATGGAAAGATGGAAACTTGCTCTATAAATTATATTTTCTTAAACAATTTTGTGTCTTTAGATGTTAATTTTATATTTATAAAAATATTAGCAAATACATGTACCATGTTTTTTTAAATCATAGTTATACTTATAATCATGTTTCATTTACATTAATAATTTTGCACCATCAGATATATACAGTAAATGGCCATAAAATCATGATCATTGGGAGTATACCAATGAAACTTGGGAGAATGAAAGAACATTGATACAAGGTTTAATTGTGCCAAATATGAAAACTACTTTTTTGGCTCACCTTGTACAAACAGTGGCAAGAAATGCCTCATAAAGCACATATTAGTGCAGCATACAAACCTGGAAGAGTGCTGCTTATATGTGAGCTTATTCATAAGGCAGCTCATAACAAGGTTGAAAATAAAAATAGTTTTTCTGGCTTATTTGCAGGACTGTAATCATGTTTTAAAAAGCCCCAACAGTATTTTTCATGTACACTGACAAAAACAAAATTCTGAAAAAAAATTTCTGAAGATTTGTAAACAGCATAATAAAGAAATCTACTTTTTTGTCCCACCCTGTCCATGCATCAGTACTTACATGAAATATTACATACATATTATATAACATTTATTGAGAACAGTTTTCCTTCCTTCTGTATCACTTTACACAAACTAACTAATCTAGGTTCCCTTTTACGTGATGTAACTGAGCGATATTGTTGCAAAATATAAATTAATTGACTGCAATATGTTTGTGGATGGTTCAAAATTCACATATACTAAGTGTGTTTACTTAAATACATGAAGACAGGTAAGGACTGATTTAGGAAGACCCATTTGTGAAAATATGTCTATGCATACAATACAAAATATCTATAAATATAAAACAAATTATATATTACCAAAAGCAGCATTATGGTAATCAGTATTTCAGGAATGATGCAATATATGACATTTTCTAATTGAGGTCATGGTGTTTAAAAAAGTCAACAAAGGTCATTGTCGAGGTCAGGACTTTGAAAGGTTAAATGTAACAAAAGTCATTATTGAGGTCATGAATTTATAAACCGAGGTCACAAAGTCAAGTTTTAAAATTAATGCCACAAACACTGTTCCACAGCTGGATGACTTTAACTGCAGTTAGCTTCATTCAAGATGGTTGCCAAAATTCTTTCGTTTTCGATAAACCTCCGATTCCAGCTAAACTAAGTTGAATCTGGATTCCAAATGTTTTGCCATGCAAATTAATAAAGCTACGATGGTAAATAACCTCAAAAAATGGTCAAACAACCGCGCATATTGGGGAATTTTAAAGAAAATGGCTTCACAAAAGAATCTCGGCAATCAAGCTGTGGAACAGTGACAAAGATATTGTAGTCTTGAAGTTGAAAGGTAAATGCCATATTGGGTTAATGTAACAAAGGTTATTATTGAGGTTATGAAGTTATATTAAAAGTTTATATTACAGAGGTCGATATATCGAAAACTGCGATTTTGCAACAGTAAACAGCCAGGACTCCAGTATAATATATATTTGGAATTATGATAGACAATTATAAAACTCATATTCACGCATTAACAGCATTGAATAACCTATTGTCAAATAAATTACCTATCAAATTATCTTGCTTCAAAGAGTGCATTTGTCAGATTAATATTTCATAGTAGCTAGATAAGCACTAGGTTGCTCTGATATGCTTTAAATCACCTTCATTATCCTTCAAGTACCTTGATTAATACAGACATTATTCAATGAATCCTTTTAAGCTTATGCCTCAAAACAATAAAGTCAGAAGCATTTGACATGTTAATTTCCTCAAAGGTTTCATTAAAACACTACTGAAAAAAGTCGAGGCGTTTTCCTACTTCTTTGAATATTTGACCCATAAATTGGCTATTTTCAAGGTGACAAAGTTTTCATCATGACAATACTGTAGATATACATAAAATAATGAAATAAAAAATCTGGATGTGTGAATATACCAAAGGTTTATTGCAACAATCTCAATGAAAAACGTTTGCTCAATTAGTGAACATTTTTGCATGCATAGTGAACACTTTAACTAGATTCTTTTTATAGTGAACACTTCATACACTTTTCTCTCTACTGAGCCCCTCCCTTTATAGTGAACACTTTCCTTAAACAGTGAACACTTTTCTTCTAAAATTAGCACTTTTATAGTGAACACTTTCCTTAAACAGTGAACACTTTTCCTCTAAAATTAGCACTTTTATAGTGAACACTTTCCCTCAATAGTGAACACTTTCCCTAAATAGTGAACACCTTCCCTCAATAGTGAACACTTTTCCTCAATAGTGAACACTTTTCCACAATAGTGAACACTTTTCCTGAATAGTGAACACCTTTTCTCAATGGTGAATACTTTTCCTCAATAGTGAACACTTTTCCTCAAAAGTGAACACTTTTCCTCAAAAGTGAACACTTTTCCTCAATAGTGAACACTTTTCCTTCAGTATGAACAATAGTCATTGTTTACATAAGTTGCAGAGTTCAGATTATCAACTGTTGTTTTCGTCTGTATGATAAATACCCGTTAAGGTTCAACTATTCTTCCCCAGGTGCCTGAAATAATCTTATTTCCTGTTTTCTGCTATCCTGAGTTTGTTGCTTTTATGGTGTCTATAGCAACTGCAATGTCCTGTTGTTGTTGTGTTAGTTTGTTGACAGTGTCTTTCACATCTGCATTCAGTTCACCATCTATGCCTATCTGGTTTTGCTAGAAATAAAAATGTATTTTGACAAAGCTTGATTAAATACAAACAAAAAAATAAAGAAAAACAAAACAGCAATTTAATCAACGTGGCAGCAACCACTTTGACATTTTTGGAAAGACACATTCTAGTATCAACGCTTTGGTTTGGTTCACCTTTATACATATCATTTATTGCCAATAATAAATAATTCGTTTTAGAATTTCTTTTATACACATAATCTTTGAAATGTCTTCTACAGATTCATTGCAGAATATTAGTAATGGAAAGTTACTGAAATTGCTAGTATTAATTGATATATCAAAGTTTACTCAAATTCAAGTAGCATTTCTCAATCTCAATCAATGTTACATGTGATTTATCCACGGATTATATTCTTGGGATCACACTTTATCACCCTGTGTGATCTTTGTGCTGAATACTACACCAAGGAAATAGTTCCCCTTGCCCCCCAACAGTCAGATTCCATTACAAGTTCAGGCCAAGTTGACCATGTAAAGAGAATTTCATTCACAAACATTGTTCTAACCATGGGCATTCAATAAGAGATTGAAAGCCCATGTTCTAACTTACAATCTATACAAAAATATACATGATCTCAAAGCCATCAAATTTAAGTAAATCCATTGTTCATTCGTTTGACCAATCAATACATATAGGGTGTGTCTTAATTGCATTACCAATCATTATCTGCACTCCTCATGTACTTATGTGTTAGTACACAGACATTAAATGGCAAAATATACTCAGCCAATAATCTATAACCTGGGCTTCTCAATTACTTGAAGACATTTATCCAAAAAGTTAACTCATCAAATAGGAAGCCAATAAGTTAGAATCAATATTTTTCTGAATGGATACATTTAAAAAATAGGATCATTTCAGTTCATTTCAAAATACCCAAAGATACTAGAATTCAACCAATTGACCATTTTGACCATTGCAATCATCTTGCGAAAAAAGCTCCCATAAATATTCCCATTCCCAAAAATTGATTTTTGTATCCTTGATAGATGAGACAAATAATTGATTAACAACATAATTGCCGTATTCTCTCTAATGACCGCAGCGTGTTTACCAAATTGAAATTTAAAAGGGTAAGATAAGCGCACATACAAAAATTCATTATCACTGATGATATACATACACACTCAACAGCTTCTGAATTGCTTTCTCTGTATCAAAAATAATCATCAACCGATATCTTGTTGTGTAAATAATCGGAACTAATGCATTAAACTTAATGGTTTCTTGAGATCATATTCAACATAAAACTCGCCTGTGCGCTAATTGGAACTGTGCACTCATTAGAGAGAATATGGTATGTTGTCTACAAACCTTAATTTTACTAAGGAGACCATTGATCATAAGTTTGGCTGAAGACAACATCTGCAAAGAGTCTTTAGGTTTACTATCCTTGTGGTTACTGCATTTCATATACTCTGCAAGATTTAATAGATACATGCATTATTAACACTGTAATCATATTAATGGTATTTTCTTCAGGATTTGTTTTCTTGATCCTTTAAAAGGGTCAATGTGACATTATTGGCAGTAATGCTGTCTATGATACTTTAGTTGTCACTTACATGTAGGTTCTATTTTTCACTCATAATTACATTTATACTTATGACCATAAGAAAAGAAACAATCATTTTTTCCGAATTGTCTTAAATATAGAGTGAACCTTTTCTGATTTAACGATGTATGATGTTTCAAACATCTGACTGGATATTAATATTGGACTGGGTAAAAGGGCATAAAAACTCCAATGAGATAAAGAATCCACTTCCCTCAATGTTGCAAAATGAAATAGGCTTAGACATATCTGTAGAAGGTTCATTACTTGGACATGTATGAAAAAAAAAGAAATATATGGAGAAAGTGTTTGCATAGACACATTTTCATTCCAGGACAAACTTACAGGTTACCTTATAATTGATTTGTATATTACTGCCAGCATGTTGTACTCCAATGAACTGATTTCCAAATAAGACCCAAGCTCAGGGGTTTCACTAGAATTTCTCACAACAGGCTAAGTAAATGAGAACAACGGGTAAAATCAATGGAAATAATAATTTTAACATGGAAAAGTTGAAAAGTCCCTAAAAACAACAGGCAATTTTGTTAAACAACCGGTGAAAATCGCCTGTTGCCTGCTGCTAAAAAAACCCTGCAGGCTGTAAATAATGACAACATTCATACCTATTGTTAACTCCAGAGCATTTGCTCCAATAGTATTACACTTGGCCATATCCTTCTCCCAGGCTTTTTCAGTTACAGCACATCTATGTGCCTTCTGTAGTAACTCCACAACCTTCTGGTGCTTCTCAAAACTCATGGTCTTCTCACTGTTATGTAACTGTGCATAGAGCTTCCAGATCTTTCCAACATTTGTGTGCTTTGAGGTAACACGCCCAAAAAGTTCAATTACTTTGGGTTTGAGAACAGAGGCAGGATTACCATGGGCATCAGAAAAGTTCTCAACAACTGCGCGTACAAGCACATTTAGTAGCTGGAAATAGAAAAATAAGAATTTTAATATCCTGATGCCTGAGTAAAAATCTACCATCTCAACATTTCAGGTAATATTACAGTTTTGATACTGTGGTGGGATTTATCTCCATGACCTCATGAAAGTTATATGGCATTTTTTGGAGTTTAAATATGAAGTTATGTGACAGCTATGAATAGGTATCTTGTCAAATGTTTTAAAGGGCATTCTAAGGCCCCTGGTTGGAAAGTCTAGACCAAAGAATCACTTTATAGAAGCTCAATGAACTGAATTTACACTTCTCAATGCTGAAATTGATAGTTTATCCATACATTTTAAGAAAATAGGAATGTCAAAGAAGCTGTTAAGCCATATATTGACCTGATAGCGCAGAAATTTTTATAAAATTTGAATTTTCTCTCTACAGTTCTTGTTGCCCCTTTAAAAAAAGTAGTGCAGATGAATCCCTCTTTTAGATAATACAAATAAAGGGTTGACTTAACTGGGATATCTAAATAATGTACATCACAATTCACGTTGACTGACTTTTTAAGTACAAGGGTTGTTCAAAAAGTTTTGCACAAATATATCTAATTGTGAAAATAATGGATCTTGTTCATAGTTGGTATGTATGTGCCTATATCTTATCTTAATGTAGTTGCTGATAGCAAAAAAGTGTAACAGTTATTGAATAGCAATTGGGGAGTTAATTTCTCTTTTATTTTGATATGCTAAAAATCTTTTTAAACCAAATAAACTGAATAATAAGTTTAAACATTCAACCTTCAAAAATGTTCCTGGTGATGTGTTTGAGAGGGGAATACAAATGACTTCCCATTGTGTGCTGACCCATCTTCACATTAGATGAACTTCTATTTTATTGGTCTATGATCTGCACAAATCAATATCGCTGATTGATCACATCACTTAGAAACAAAATGAGCAATTCAAAATTTGTAAACATCAAGATGAAGGAAATAGAAAGGAATGTGTTATGTGGATCATTTAGATATTAGATATCACATGATGGAAGAGTTACACAAAAAGAAAGTAGTCCAGAGAAGAGGTATAAGATATACATGTACTATCAACTATGGCTTTTCTCTTCTTACTGTGATCATATATTTGACACTGTTATGGTTTTCCATTATAGTACAAACCCCGATAAAACTATCTATATAATCAACCTCCATACACAAACCCAACTACCACAGATAATATGCTAAATAAATGAATGTTCCTCAAGAATCAATGTTATATAATAAAACAAGTGTTGATATTAAGCTCTCAGCTCAAATGTTCTGTTATTTTTCCATTATATAGAGTCAGATGACTTAACATAATGACGTACAACCTCATGGCTACAATAACAAAATTAAAGGGTGATTTCAAGACAAAGGAATGGGCCTTGCGCCTATTGAATCATATATTGAATTAGAGATATCACTTAATAGGTGAATGAACAAATACACATGTTGCTTTTCAGATATTATATTGATGAAAGGGTGAAGGTATTGATGGTCTCCCAAAACATTGTTTGATGGTGAAGTCACTGAACTACTTCACAATACTAAAAACAACATGTTATGTTTAGATAATGTCTATAATACAGAATAACAAAATGTCATGTAGCTCAGCCTTATATATTTCTATTGATTTTCCATCATCTCATTTCCTAGAAGAATTATTTATATCCGCACATATAGACTAGAAATAGATATTAATTAATTAACAGCTGTTTTATACCGTTTGGAGTTAAAGCACCATAAAACTCTTGAAGATCATGGAATATGATGAGGGATGAAGAAAAATTCATTATACAAGGTGGTCCAAAAATGGGACACTCGTTTTTTAAAAATAAATATTGATTTTCTTGATGAAAACATGTCATATTATATACCAGTGGATAGGGAATTTACTTCTCTTTAATTTGGTATATCATAAGTTCAAATTTATTGTAATGTCTGCCAACCAGCGTCCATAATATAAATGACGTCATTTTCATATATTGTCAACTTTATTTACATAAACAGACGTTCAATATATCCACCATTTTGATCAATTATAGCTATCAATTTGGCCTTAACTGGTAAAATCATCATTGATATGCTATTGAGACAATAAATTCCACTTCTCAATAATTCAATCCTTAATAAGGAACTAAGCAGATGTAAAAGATTCACCCCCTCCCCTTAATCACTGCCTCCCCTTGTCACCTGATCACCCAACGTCTGCGACTACCATGAATGAGGCAAACTAACAGGGTTTGTACCATGAATCCTTTACATCAAAGGACAGAATTATGGAGAAGTGAAATTCATTGTCTCCACAGCATATCAATGATGATTTGACCAGTTAAGGCCAAGATTGAGGGCTATAATTGATCAAATGGTGGATATATTGAACATCTGTTCATGTAAATAAAGTTGACAAAAAAACTTGGTTTTTACAAGTTTTCGAAAACTTGTGTTGAAAACGAAAATGATGTCATTTATATTATGGATGCTGGTAAACAGACATTACAATAAATTTGAACTTATTTAATATTAAAAATATTTTATTCGTCTATATATTACATAACATACATTTTATTGATATAGTTTAATGAAACAGATTGGACTTATGACATATCATATTAAAGATATGTAAATTTCCTATCCACTGGTATGTAACATGACATGTTTTCATCAAGAAAATTTATATTTATTTTACTTTTTGGACCACCCTGTATATTTGGTAACAAGGAAAAACACTATACAAATAAAAAAACAATCGCAAAGCTGATTTCCAATAAAATGGCTTAGTTTCTCAGTTTTCATCAAAATGACACATTTTGTTCTTGTTTGCAAAATGGCAAAATATGGTAAAATACTGGGGTATTCAAGAGATTTGACACAACACATTACATTAAGTGGCACTAAAACATCTAAAAAGAACACATAACTTGTTGATTCGTGGGTCATTGTTCAGGTTCATGACTTCATACTTACATCGGGTTCTGCATATTTCTCTTTGATGTCCAACAAACGATGGTACGCCATTACTCCATCAGAAAACTCCCCTATATCCAAGGCACACTGTAAGTAAAGACAGAAAGAAAGTAAATACAGGAGGATAAATCAAAGATTCAAATGAGAGTGACTGTAGCTTGTGACACCTCTAATCCAAAAAGCAAACAAAATACTATGATTACTACACAGAATCCCTTGATATATTGACCTGATGAATATCTTCAGATTGGCTGATGAAACAACCTTTTTGGGGTGTCATGTTGGCCGAGCGGTCCAGAGCACTGAACACGTTGAGTTAGGTGCTGTTGCCTTAAGCATGAGGTCATGAGTTAAAGATGCGTGAGGTCCTGGCACTTATTTGTTTGTGACATAAGCATCACAGATAAAAGTATATGTATAGACAGGCCCATAGACCACCACCCCCCCCCCATCAAAAAATATTTCATGTTATTTGGGCCAAAGTTGTTAAATGTGAACCCCCTGGAATTTTTTAAAAAGTAAACCCTGACTTGGTAAAAGCTAGCTATGTGCCTGATAGGTGAGTTCAATTTTAGAACATGACACACTGTAGGTTGTCATACCTGGAAAGTCATTGTTAATAGTTACAAAAGTACAAAAAAATAAACGAGGGCTAAACAATGCATCAGTGGTGACATGAAAATAAGGTTCAAAATAGCAAGTGTTTCATGATCAAATGTATTACGAGAGGACAAAAATGCATTTTTAAGGCTCAACCTTACCATTTCATACATTTCTTGTATTACTACATTACTATTAAATACCACCTGGTCTTTCATGTCATGTGACCTATTTCCTTTCTACAGGGTGACACAATAGATGGAGCCTGTGAAACCTACATGCAATTAGCTTCTACAGTTAGTAGACTGGTAAGTTCAAATCCAACTCCTGGTCCATGTACCAGTTTAGTCATTAAAAAAGATCTCATCAAAGTCGAGATATAAAAGGGTTTACATGAGTGCACTTCTGTTTGCTCCATTGAACATTTTATATATATATTTCTTTTATTGACAATTGTATCAAAACATGACACATTAATCTATGTACAAGTACAGATCTATGTCTATGTACAATACTACACTATTAACTAAATGCTAGACTACATAACTACACTATATACATGTAACATATAATCATTAGTATGAGGCTACTGGCTTTTTGTAAAACTTGATGCATACAATGCAAAATTAAGGGGACTCCAACATTATTGACAAAGTTATCCTAAAAAATAGACACTTACATTTTGGGCGACCCCGAAAACATAAATTCTATTTACACGGTATTGTTGAATTAAAGTAGAGATAATAGATATCAATGACAAATCATTTGTTTATTGCCACCATTGTCCATTTATCTATTCTTATAATCTTAGATATCAATAAATGATGACAGAAAAACAAGTCCCTTTGTTTCTAAATAATACGTAAATCCCTAAAATAGACATCATTGCATGTTATACAATTGATTACTAGAAACCAATACAATGATCCATCTCGCTGGTAAACTGCAAAATTTGACATGGGAAAAGAAATAAGGTCAATCAGTGCGAGTTGTATATTGCAAACACAACAGAAGATTCAATTAATGTAATTCTTTCACTATATTTGAGAAAATAATGAATTCAAACAAAAATATATTAATAATACTTTGTAAATTTTTAATCGAGGCTGGGCAAAAAATATACATTTATAATGTTATCTTGATGTTTGTTACTGTATTAGTTAAGTTTATCTTTTGTACTCTTTTACCCTATAAGGGGTGAATTGAGAAATCAATAAATAAAAAAATAATAATATTCAATGTTCAGTAAGTACATCAACAAAATGTGCATCAAAGCCTAAATATAACAATGGCTGAAATTATGTGTTAACTTTGTTTGAGATTCTGAGATGTTTGACCCGAATCCAATGGTTTGTGACTTTCAAAGCTGTTGGCATTTTTGGATGTTTGTTTTTTGAGGTGTTCACTTCCTCGGCTATTACACAGCCAAACAATTAGATAAATGTTTGCACATTAATGTTCAACATATTGGCTGGAACACAACTGTCGTGTCTCAGATTTTCAATGAGGGTACGAGCCTGAATTCAAAGGCTAGCATACAAAACATGAGTGCATTAAATCACCCACAATTCATTGAGTCGTGTGCTTAAATTGTTTTCATACATTTCAAAAGAATTTGCATATTACTAAAAAGAATTAAATTCAACCAGATCTTTTTGCAAGGCTTTTGCAAGGTGTAACCTTTTTACATTGAGACCCGTAGAAGAGCCTTAAAATTGGTGAGGGTCATTCATTTTCACTGCTCTGAAGATCAATGCACATCATGCCAATACCCAGAACGATCAATTAGTGAACATGTTAGAGCATCCAAATAATGTATTTTGAGGTCAACTTCATCATGTTAAGATATCTGTGACATAAGATATTTCTAGCCAATCAGTTCCACTACAGGCCTGTAGCCAGGAGGGGGGGGGGCACAAATTCTTTCAAAATCATGTAGTTTTCACCATTCTGAACACTTTTTAAGTGAGTTTGAACAAAAGATGTCAAAAGGAAACCCACATTTTTGAAAAAGGTGGCTATATGGGGCTGCACTAAATATTAGAGATTGGTAATATAAGCTGGCTTACCACAAGGTAGTTCTCCCAGACCCGCCAGTTCTCATATGCCCCCTTAATTGCCTCCTTTAATGTCATAAACGCCCTCTTTCTACAAAGGAAAAAGATAAAGCTGGATAAAAAGAAAAATACATGTACAGGGTGGTCAAAAAAATGGAAACCCTTACACCATTTTCCTCATATATTTGTCACTTTAAGGAATAACTCCCTGATATTTTGTACATTTGTACATCATTCATATTTTATGATCATCAGATTGATAGTCACAATGTTACAGCAGTTTACAGAGCATGCACTAGTGGCCACTATTGCGCTGTCGGGCCACCTGCACCCGTCGTCCAAAATGTCCCTACCTGTGGGGATATGGCAAGGAAAAACTGTATGAGAATGACCTCAGGACAATCACAAACCTCAAAAGTGAGATCCTGAGGAATGCATTCAGCCCATTGACAACTGTGCAGGTTTGCCTACAGCGTGATGATAGCCAAACTTGAAGCATGTTATTCAAAGTGCTGTAAAATTGTGACTATCAGTCTGATAGTCATGAAATTTAGTAGGGTGGTAGGAAATTGAATGATGTACAAATGTGTGCAGGGTTTCCATTTTGACCACCTTGATTCGTTTATAGATACATGTAATTCACTTATTAGACAGGTAGCCAAAGGTGGATAACTGTATCAGTTTTTATAGTACGTGTATATTAATATTTACATATTAATATAATACATATATACATAATTAATATAATATATTAATATGTAACAGTCTTGCTCTAAAACTACTGACACAATTAAAAGCTATCCAAACATATAATTGAATATTTAAAAGTTTGTTACAAAAATAACATTACTTTGGTTCTATCTAGTTTCTTGAATGGTTAATTTACAATATACAAAGGCTGATCCAGAAGTTCTGATAAAAATGATGTACTTTTTTTTAAGTAAAGGAAATCACCTCAAATTTTATCAGGGCTTCTGGATCGCCCCTTGTACATGTACATTTACATTGAGTAAAACATGACCAAGTGGAACACTCAGATGGTCCTGGTGTTCCACTTCTAGAGGTGTTCCACTGCTAGAGATGTTCCACTTTACAGGTTTATCCATTATTTATTTCATGATAATATAACAATGGAATGTACAAAGCATGTGCACTCGACACGCTTAGTAATTGGGCGTATCAGTGCTTATATGAAAAATTATAGCAGAGCAATCAAAAAACATATAATATATAACATACATTATCTAAATTGTCTAAATGCAATACAGGAACTTTGAAGTTTTGATAGAAATAATTAATTTAAACAGAATGTGATCTGTTCATTCATAAATATAGAAATACTTGTACATCTATACACTGACAGAATATACAAGGTATAACAAACAACAACACCATAAACATGTACACTAAGTAATATGCAAACAATTAAGCTAATGGTGTTGCATCATTTGAAAGCTTATCTAACAGATAATTTTATGGCACCATTACTTTTTTACTACCATTTTACATTTCCTATTGGAATTACGGATCATGTTTTCTGCAATAAAATCATTTTATCATGATTACCAGCAATGATGTGAGATATGATTGAATGTAGAATGAAAATTATTCATAAACAATACAGAGTTTTTTTTAAAGTGTGATAAAAACACATGTAGTTTATTAAATATCCTTGGGCTAAATGAACTTTTTTCTATCTGTGGACAGTGAGTTTTCACTATCCATCTTTCCAATATATGATTCAAGCTTTAACTTGTACCTGGGTACCACACATCCTTTTTTGAAGAAACAATATCACATTACTGCTTTGTATTAATTAAATGATAGTATCTAGTAAATATAAAAAATTACTTATAAAATTAATAAATTGTATCAAGTCTTACTTAAAGATAATATCATCATCTGATTAATGACTCAATTCTTCTTAATGACGCAACGACCAACTGAATCGTAACAATATCAACTTACAAAATCTATCCAAGAAAGATAAATGTATTCGATGAACCTTGATTCTATTAGCTGATATATTGTTCGTTTGATTAAACCACCTGAGTAGGTTTATAAGTTGAGAGAGAGATCAATATCTCAGTTATACATTGACAGAGATATGAGATACGGCAAAAATTCCTTTCCTAATTTAAGAACAATATAAACTGCTCATTTCAAAGATCAGCCTAGATGTTGGTTATTTTTACATAAGCTGACAATGATAGTTAAGCTTACAATTACATGTACAGTCATCTACAATTACATTATTAACATTTGAGCACAAGATGATCTTTTAACATGTAAAATCTGATAATATGTGTGATATTCATTAATTTTGTTTTATAAACCTCTTTGAATTCTCACTCCAATTAGAATCCTTTAGAAAATGAACATATAAATCTATGTTTTGCAGATATTTTGATACCTTTACCAATTTTACATCTTTTGTGAAGTACCCTACCCACTATCTCTAATTCTTGCTTGAATAGTTCGAAAATAAACCCAGTATCTTAAATGGTTTACAAATCAAACTGCTATTCAAGGATCACAAGATCAGTGATACAGTAAGGCATACAGAGTAAACGTTATTGACACCACAGTCATATTACAGTCATTAGTAATCAATGCAATGTTTATAATCTAAAACTAAAAATCCAAAGACATATCAGTTTACCTAAAGCATTCTAGACCATGGGGGCGGTTGTTTAAATGGAAATAACGATCGGGTGTGACACAAAGCACAAGCTCATAGCCTAGCCTAAGGTGCACTTAGTTTTTATGAAGAGCAGATAATTAAGATTATTTCAGCATTTACAGCAAGTAAATAATATGTCAACTGGTCCATTATTCAACAATAAATACATATACACTTATATTTTGCTTTGTGTATATACTTATACACAAATCCCTCATGTGTTAAAACTTACTTTTGTCCTAGTTTAATGTATGCACTGGACAGGTTGTTCCATGCCTCAAAGTTCTGAAAACAAAGATTGAGGTTTCATTAACATAAACTAATCAATACATCATTGCTCCTCATGGCATATAAACAATTGTGAATGTCATTTCAAAGTGATGGGAGATGAGACTGCATAATACAATCCATTCAATTAGGATTCATGGAAGATTGTGGGTTGACGCTGGGTTTTGTCTATTAATTATAGGTTGATGGAACATCAGTTAAAAGCGTATTAGTCCATTCAATGGACTGAAATTACTGAATATGTTTTTGGCTCTAAATATAAACAGGATGATTTTTTTTGATTTCTTTTAGTATAATATGAATTATGTGTGATACATGTATATGTTCCAGAGTCAAAATCCAACCAATCAATTCTAGAATTCCAGGTACATTTGTACTTATAGTAGGCGCCCTGTTAACTCCTTCCCTTCATAATTCCATTATTGGGGTCGATGTGATATTTCAAAATCAAAATGAAACAAGACACACAGTGATAAATATCGCACTTTGAAGAGCAAACTGGCCACCATGCAATTTACCCAGCATGGCCAAAACCTAATCAGACCTTGGCACTAGTCTGCTCTTGCATCTGTAAACATTTCAAGTTGACAAGGTTAGCGGTTTTCCTGCAATTTTGATGACAAGAATTTATTTGTAGTCTTGAACTTTGGGAAAATTTAGATAACATTGTTTGTGACCTAATTTGATGACCTTCGACCTTGAAAATTTCACTTTTTCAGACCTCAGTAGGTATTTTGTAATTAAGCTGACCTAAATTTAAATCCAAAATATCAATTTAGAAAATCAACTTTTTTGACCTTTTCAAGGTCACTGAAGGTGAATGAAAGGTCAAATCTGAAATCTAAGGTCAGATTTGAATTTCTGAGAACTTGTAGATGTTTTTAAAAAAAATATTTGGTCAATTTGGAGCAAGTTGAAAAATTCAAAATGGCCACCATGTAATTCAGCCAGCATACCCAAAACCTAATCAGATCTTGGCAATAGTCTGCTCTTGCATCTGTAAAAATTTCAAGTTGAACGGATAAGTGGTTTTCCTGGAATTTTGATGACAAGATTTGTTCAAAAATTCAAAATGGCCGCCACGTAGTTTACCCAGCATCAGATCTTGGTACTAGTCTGCTCTTGCATCTGTAAAAATTTCAAGTTGAACAGGTAAGCAGTTATCCTGGAAATTTAATGACAAGATTTGGTTTATGTGCGGCCCGCCCGCACGCCCGCCCGCCCGCCCGCCCGCCCAACAGCACAAGACGACGACAATATAGCACTTTTTCAAAGTGCGATAATAAAAAATATTATCTAAATATAGGTGTTTGCATGTGAAGTAAACTGTAGTAAAAATCTATAAAATCTAATGAATTAAAACCAAAAATAAGAATATACGCCATCTATTTGAATATAAAAGGTGTATCTGAATTCCAGCTCAGGTGTTGTAACAATATTTATTTTGTGTAAACAGAAGGTTAAGAAATCAATTTGTAATTTCATTGAAATGTAAATTTCCTTTATCTTCCAAATGTGTATAAGACATTAATTAAATTCAATGAGAATTGCTTTTTACAAAATCAAAACACTTACATCGTCATCCAGATTGATACCTTGTTGGAATGCTTTAGCGGCTCTCTCAAAGTTTCCCGCAGACATAGCAGCGCAACCATATGTGAACCAACACCCTGACTGTAGAGCATTTGCTTGTAGAGAAGCTTCAAAACATGACAGAGATTCTTCAAACTAGAATAAACAAAAGCAATATAAATATGAGTAGTGCTTATGCTTAATAAGGTGGTCCTGCCAGGTTACTTTATTAAGGTGGTCCTGCCAGGTTACTTTATGGGGGCATCAAAGTCAGACATGAGGCAAGGCAATAGAATCACTAAAATGTTAAAGAAAACACTTATTCTAATCCTCCTTGGCTTAATTTCTCTTGCCAATATTGAGATTCTGTCTATACTCCTGCTTTAAAGCATTGTTCTTGGTCATGAAAAAATCTAACATGAATTATTCTAACCAAGGAAATCAGGATATTAGTAAGTGGACAAGAGGCCTTGAGATATACATTCAAATCTTGTTTTAAATAAGATTTTAAGAGAACTGCATAAACAACTATTATGATTTATGTGTATACATTTTTATAAGAAGAATTTTGGTTAACCCAGGTATTTTGCTTTCAATTTCAAATTCAATTTCTCATGATTTTAAGGTTTGGCAAAATCCCCAATTGACACAATGTTAAAAGATATTTCAGAGTTAATGTACTCTCTTCAGGATCAAGAATCAAAGTTAGATTAAATCCAAATGTCAACAAATCATCAAGTCATCAAATATATTGATACAGGGTGACCTCAAAAATACTCATTATTTCTGGAACAATTGTACATTAATAGCAAGAACACTGTATGTACTTGCTATTAATGCAACCAGTGATACTTTAAAACATCATTTTACAAATACTGAATAAAATATAAAATAGATGGCATACCTTTCCTTTACGAAATAGATAAGTCGCCTTGGATCTCATACTGCGGAAACTTCTGTGATTTGACATTTCCCAAGCTTTGTCATAGTACGAGGGGTCTTCAGTGACATCACCAAGGTAACAGTACATCATGGGTTCTTCTTTCACAGATAGTTGCTCCCTGATCTTTTTCTCAGCCTATCAAATAATCAAGATTCATGCACAGTATCTTCATGATTGTATTATAAGAAACCAAGTGTAATGAAGAAAAAACTAACAATTAAAGAAAGGAAAAAGGCTTGGAATTGATACTCAGTAGTGAGTACGATGAATATGAACTCGAAAGACCATCATCAATCAACAAATAGTCAGATATAAAAAATAAAATAGTTTCTAAATATTTTTTGCTCACCCCAACCCCCATAGTTTGGGTCCTCATCATGGACATTTTTTGTTTTGGTTAATATCTTAACATAGGGAATGGTGTTCTGTTGATATTTTGAAAGACTGATGATAACGATTCAACAACAAAAACAATGTAAGAATAGCATGTAAATAAAGTGGAATACACCCTTCGCTAAGCTTCAACAATGAAAATCAACAAAGAATTATCTTGCTATCTTGCGTGAAAAAGTTAATGCTTCAATCCCAAGATGAACTTTTATTTTACAATTAATTCCACTATACAAATAGTCAGCGAGCCATACAGAAGGATATATAGTCCCTGTCATAGCCTCCTCTAGACTGTCAAAGTAAATCCATTAGCTAATGTGTAACATATGTGTTCAATTTTACAAATGGGTTTACATAAACAGAACCCTGGAATTATGCAATTGTTCTATATGTTGATCCCACGCAAACTGATAATAGCTTGGTGTTATCGATAAATATTTCACCATGTCATATCTTGAAAATGCAATCACATAACTTTTAACCTAGAGAATTTATCTTGCATATATATACATATGTTGACTCATGATTACTGATTCAAAGAGAACATATATCCAATAGAATAAATCTGATAATACATATCAAATAGAATACATCTATCCTATGATTTATGAGTGATAGATTTAATTCAAATTTTCCAAATGATCTGGCGATGTTGACACTTAGCCTCATTTTGAGTCTGAAGTAGCAAAAAATCATAATTCATAGCATACAGCGCCGTATTCATGGCTTAACCACAGTATGCTATGATTAAGTGAAAAGTCAAAAATATCATATTTTACCACTTATTACAAAAATACCGTTTTTATTTTGACATGTTATCCTATGAATATCATGCTAACTATGGAATAATGCAAAATATCTAATAGTTTAATCAGATCAATGCATCGCTGAATATGAAGTTTAAAAATCATTCATACTATTAAGCAAGAAAAAATGCAATACATACAGCCTCTACTCTGCCAAGGGCGCCGTAGCAAACAATGACATTGTCCCACATTTGCAGTCTCTCATAGATCTCTAATGCTGCTTTCACTGTTCCTATCTTTATAAAGAAATCAGCAAGCGTTTTCTGCAAACACAGAGGAAGGGAAACATTGGAGTATGGAAGGAAAATTATAGAAACATACATGAAGACAGGCTCACCATCAGAACAACCAGATTGCTCTGAATAACACTGATGTTCACATATAAATATAATATATCAGAACAGTTCAAGTGCACACCATGATATCTTGATAGCAGGGTCTGGAGAAGCTGTTTTCAATAATGACATTTTGGTTCTCTGATTACAGCCTGACCATAGCAGCCCTAGGTTTTCAGCGTCACATATATTATTTGGGAGAATATCAACATTTTTTGCAATTTGAATCTTAAATAATTTCACCTATTGATAAAATATCAAAGATCTTTTGGGAGATATTGCATTTAAGATTATTAGGAATAGATTGGTAGGTCAATTGTACAAGTGTTTTACCTCAGTTTTCCATTTGGGAGGAAGGCTAACACTATAGAAAAGATCCATCTTCTGTGACTGGTAGATTATGTATGATTGTGGCTCTTCTCTCTTCACTTGGTTTATCAGTTCCTACAACATATGTGCATGTATTATTTCTGCTAAAAATAATTCATACAAAAGGGAAAGGTGTCCCATTGTAAAATGATGATTTCCAAGTGAACTTAAGTGAACTGCAAATCAACATATTGAAATATTGTTTGGGCAATCCTCTTTAATAAATTTTAGATAAAAAATATTGTTTTACATGAGGATGGGTTCAATTGAAACAACAAAATAATGTCATTTTTCCACAACTGACAACACGAAGTCACCCTAAATAATAACACTATGTTTAGGACCGAAGTGAATAAATAGATCAGTAGGATTAGCTCATTCCCTGACTCGATTTCTAGTTCTTAATTTCCTCTTTTAAGAAAACATTTAATTGTATTCTGGAACACCAGACTTGATTAATGGGAAGATAGGGCCCATTCAAGAAGTAGATCTCAGGCTGTCATCACTTGGAATATCAAGAAGAAATTGCTCACCTTAAAAGGTATTTAAATAAATACAGTACATTACATAAAATACGGATGTGAAATATATTTCTATTTTCCATTTTATGATATTCAAATTGGATCTGAGAAATGCTAGATATTGCTCCCTAAGATTGTATGTACAAGTTGCCAGAGCAAATAAATAAGGATTAACATAGAAATGAAGCCAAAAATTCCATTTACAAAATGAAGTTTTTTACACTTGGTTTACCTCTAGTTGTGTCATTGAACGTTCCATACGACGCACATTCTCACTCTCCCACTTTGTTCTTTCAAGCAACGCTGCTGTTTGAACAACCCAACTACGTTCCTGTGATAGCACACACTGAAATCCAATGCAATTCATGAATGCTAAGCAGAACAGAAAATACAGAGCAGATATAACTCAATGTAAAGTTCCTTTTTGACCACATGGTAATATCTCCAAAAGGTTAAAGTTGAGTTTTGCTAGTTATCGTTCAGATTCAGATAATATGATACAGACTGATAGACTTGACACGTTCATCTTTCGTAGTACTGACAAACAAATGAAATTAATTAATTGTAGACTTACATTAGTATGTGCCAGGATTTCCTCTTTTATCAGGTCACTTTGACTTTCATGAAGACTTTTTAAATCTGAACTGAAAATAGATAATTTCACCATTATAACATACTTCCTAAAACAGGTCATTCAGAAGTGGGGACCTTTAAAATTATTGAAAATGAAAATTATATTGATCTCATATTGCAGGCAATATCACATAAAACAGATGTGGAGTAAATTCTGTTACATTTACAGAAACTCTCAGTTTCCCGTCGTTTATACAATAGAACCTGTCTGAGTCGAACACCTTTGGTACCTCTAAAAAGAGTTCCACTTGGGAGGTGTTCCACCTATAGAGGTTCATTTAACATTGAGTAAGTTGTTCTTGGGACTCTGAAAAATGTTCTACTAACAGAGGTGTTCCACTTCAAGAGGTGTTCCACTACAAGATTCACTGTACTTGTAAAATTGGCTTCTCCGAGGTGCCCGCCTTTAAGACACATGTTAAAATCACAATTGAAAGGCTGAAATCCAGTGAAATGGCCCAGGCAGGCAATGGAACAATTTTGTGCAACTGCATTCTGCAGGAATGTCATGGTGCCATACACAAACAATTTACAATGAACGTTATCTTCAAGATTAGATTCATGTAATGTTTTTCAGTCATTAAACTAGATCTGTCAATGTGGTAATCTATAGTTGCTTTAGCTCAGTAGATATGTTATCAACAACAACAAAAGTTCCATACAGTCAAAGTGACTTTTTCATATCAAATTCATTAGCTATGATTGATGTCACAAGATCCAGGAACCGTGATGCACCACTGGAACAATTCATGCCTTATACTCTCTAGTATTGCCTTTTGCTGTCTATATCGCATAAAATAATCTAATATATAAATCCTAATTTCATGGCGTGACCTCCCAAGATACAGAACGCATTTGCATTTTAGCATTTGCTGTCAGGTTTAATGTTTCCTTTTAAACCAGAACAACGGCAACGCCAAAGCGTAGCGAATCCCATCGAACAGAAATGGCTGGCATTTTTACAAACGAAGCGCAAATATCATAAAACAACACACCAGAAAGGCCACCATTTTCAAAATGGTTGCTCACTAGCCAAGTTGTCATCAGAAGAAATAATATGCTTTTAAGTAGCCACCTCTAAAATTTTTGAAAAATCGCACACATGCTTGTAAAATAACACACATAAAAATGGTGGCCATTTTTCAAAATGGCCGACTACTCCCTAAAGTTTTATTAGACGATGTGCCATGCTTAAAGTATTCACATATCAATTATGAACAAAATCGCTCCACTACTTTTCGAGTTATAGTAAAATACGTTAAAATGGCGGCCATTTTTCAAAATTGTTTTCAAAATGGCCGCCTTCTACCAAAAGTGTCATAGGACAGTGTGCCATGCTTATAGTATTCACATACCAAATATGAACAAAATCGCTCCACTACTTTTCGAGTTATAGTAAAATACGTTAAAATGGCGGCCATTTTGAAAAATGGCCACCTTCTACCAAAAGTGTCTTTAGACAGTGTGCAATGCTTATAGTATCCACATACCAAATATGAACAAAATCGCTCCACTACTTTTTGAGTTACAGCAAAAATCGTAAAATGACGAGTAAAGGCCGCCATTTTTCAAGATGGCTGCCATGTGCTTCTTTAATATCTACATTTGTAGCATTATTAACGTCCTTTATAATTTTTTTACATTTTAAACATATTGCTATTACAGTTTACATATTGCACCTTAATTACTGTAAAATCGTCACTAAAATGGCCGCCATTTTGAAATGAGTGGCCATTTTGAAAATCGGCTTTCGAGCAGAACTTCTAACCCCATAGGGTATATGTGTACAAAATATGAACAAAATCTGGCCAACCGTATTTGAGTTATTGCCCGGACAGACGGATGGACAGACGGACGGACGGACGTACGGACGGACGGACGGACGGACGTACGTACAGACGTACGTACGGACGGACGGACGGAGGCGTTCCCTATATCCCTCCGAACTTCGTTCGATGGGATAAATATGCAATTAGTGACTATTATTCTGACATTCTGATTGGTTAAGGCTAGATCAAAGGATTCTAAGTTTAGAGGAAACTCCAAGGAGGATTGGCAGGCATCAAACGCAATACTCCGTTGCCCAGATTGGAACAATTTAGTAAACACATTTCTATAAAATTCTCTTTGGACCAAGTATTTCGTAAGAAGATGTACAATACGAATATTATGATAATAATCAAGTTTCATTGGCAGTTCTTGTCTTCACAATTTGAGTAATTCTGTTACCAAATTGGTCTACGCCGGGCAATGGAGTATCGAGTTTGAATAATGGCTTCCAATCCACCTTGATGAACTCTTTGTTTTTGAAAGAAGCAAAATACTGGAAAGGGTGGTATTCTGTGTTTACTGATATTCATCAGCAAGAATATGAAGTTTTAATACTTTTTACAAAATGGGATATTGAATTTTCAGTATATGTGATAATCGCATTATATTATCTATTCTGACATTCACTCTCCATTTACTGAACCAAATGAGAGTTTTCTTTATGTATATATTGATTGGCTGAACATGTTTTACGAGATTAATCAACAAAGTAAAGATAATAGTCTAAAATAAGGAGATGTATTTATACAGGATATACACATGCCACTGATGTGCTGAGTGCTCTTTCAGCCAACCAACATCTTTTATTTCAATTGAATTGATTCCCAAGTCACATGTCACATGTGTGGTACTAATATCAATTTGATGGTGTCACCATGAACTACAAGTCTCCAAATGAACTTTAGGTACACTTTAGTAGATTAAACTAGTTTTAAAAGCATAACACTCTATTCTATTCCCTATAGGGTTTCCATTGATTTTGTTCTTTTGCACACACTCTATAATCCCAAAGACAAAGAGCCCTGGTTTGCAAAATAGTGATAAATTCGATAACATCTCATCGCTATTAGAGATAATATCTATATTAGACTTTATTATTGATAATATCAAAATATTATCTGATATTCTGATAATTTCATGTGTGTTGTTCTAACATATTACTCCATACCAACATTCTTTAGCAATAATAGTGATAGTTTTGATAACATGGATATTATAATGAATAGTGATTTGGATAATACCAATATTATCAGATAATGCTTATTGGTTCCACTTGGGCCCTGTTCTTAGTAATGTATGCCACAAATTTATCAGAATTGATATAAACTCCCTTTGAAATAAAATTGGGGTTGGAAAAATAAGCACACCAACCTCGAAATTTTATTATACATGTACACACAAGTCAATAACATGCAAAATGTCACCACCTGCAATGCCTAGTAGTGCTATTACACTAACTAGAGTTTACTAAACTCATCAGCATCAGCATCAGTGAATCATTTCTTAAATACCATGATGTTTTGACTATTCTGAACTATGTATGGTATGGTAATAACCGTGTAAATCAACATCACAACGCAAGACGTGGATCAGGGGGAGTAGGTGTCTTAATCCATTAACGAGTGTTTAACATATTTAACATTGAACTTTTAGATGATGAGTCTGAAGGAATTTTGTGGATGAAGCTTTCATGCAAAACATCAGATACAGCAGGGCCGTCAGATGGGGGGGTGCGATGGGTGCGACCGCACCCCCCTTTGTCACCCCCCAAAATAAATTTGAAAAAAAAACATTTTGAAAAAAATATTTTTTTTGAAAAATATTTTTTTTGTAATTTTTTTTCATTGACTCATACACTTTAAAAGTACCCAGAAAGCACCAAATAGCATCTTAAAATTGTAAAATTTTCTAGGGGTATTGGCAACCCCTCACCCCCCCCCCACAAAACAATGGAAAAGTTCTAAATTTATTTTAGTATTTTGTCTCAGACACTTTTGAAGTGCCCAGACATCATCAAATAACTCCTTGATATAGTTAGTGTTTCTGGGGGACTTGCTCTTGCATCTTGCACTTGCATAGCCCCCCCCCCTTGACCCCCCCCCCCCAAAAAAAAAAATTGTGATTTTCTCAAATTCTTTAATTGACTCATACACTTTGAAAGTGCCCAGAAAGCACCAAATAGCGTCGTAAAATTGTAAAATTTTCTAGGGGGAGTGGGCCACCCCTCACACCCCAAACAAAACAATGGAAAAGTTCTGAATTTGTTTTATGTATTGTCTCAGACACTTTTAAATTGCCCAGACATCATCAAATAGCTCCTTGATAAAGTTAATGATTCTGGAAGACTAACACTTACTCGCCCTCTGGCATCCCCACTCCCCCTCCCCCTCTGGCAGCCTTAACACCCCCCACAAAAAAATTGAGATTTTTCAAATTTTTTTATTGACTTTGAAAGTGCCCAGAAAGCACCAAATAGCATCTTAAAATTGTAAAATTTTCTTGGGAAAAAGGCACTTTTAGGCACAGACACTTTTAAAGTGCCCAAACTTCATCGAATAGCACCTTGATATTGTAAATTTTGATATTGGGGACAAACACTTGCTCCCCCTCTGGCACCCCAGCCCCACCTCCCCCTCTGGCACCCCTCCCCCCCCCCCCCCCTTTGACACCCCCAAAATTTGAAAAAATTGCGATTGTTTTTCAATGTTTTTATTGACTAATACACTTTAAAAGTGCCCAGAAGCACCAAATATCATCTTTAAATTGTAAAATTTTCTAGGAGAGTTAGCCACCCCTCACATCCCCCACAAAACAAAAGAAAATATTCTGAATTTCATGTATTGTCTCAGACATTTTTTAAGTGCCCAGACATCATCAAATAGCACATTGATATGGTCAATGTTTCTGGGGGACAACCCCTTGCTCCCTACTGGCACCCCACCCCACTTCACCCTCTCATCCTCTTTGACACCCCCAAAAGAATTTGAAAAAAATTCACATTTTTCTTATTGGACATAACGCCGAGCGTACAATATGGTTGCAAATTCGCTCCAAATACAACCAAATTTCAAAATTTTCCTGGGGGAGAACCAGACCCCCCTGAATGCTCGTTTTTTTATTCACTCAACTCTTATTCCCGTGGTGGTGGCGTACTACTTAGAAACTTACACTTTGAAAGTGCCCAGAAAGCACCAAATAGCATCTCAAAACTGTAAAATTTTCTAGGGGGAGTGGACCACTCCTCATACCCCCCACAAAACAATTGGAACGTTTGGAAGTTGCATTTGTTAATTCCAAACCAATATAGGGAGTAACTGACCCCCCCCCTCTATCTTACGCGATTTGATTTACGCGGCAAAAAATGACACATTTTATATTCTCTTTAGTAAACTAAAAACCGCACCCCCCTTGGAGAAAAGTGTCTTACGGGCCTGTACAGTGATATGTTTATGTAGTTGCTATTTGCCTCCCAAAGACTCTACACGTTCTATTGATGGAGAGGATTTTTATAATAATTTGTTAAATAAAATCTACATTTATCAAAATATTGGTTTCACTGTAATATGTGGTGATTTCAATTCAAGATGTGGTGATGTATTTGATTACATAGCCGGTGTGGATGAAGTCCCACCGAGAAACATCCTTGATTATGGCGAAAACTCGTATGGTGTATTGCTTACAGAATTTTTAATTGATTCAAATTTTGTAATGTTGAATGGTCGGAAAGGTAATTCAAATAATTTTACTTTTATTGATGCAATGAAGGGAAAGTCAGTTATATATAATTGTACCTCATGAGCAATTGGATTTATGGCAAGATTTCTCTGTCTTAACCATAAGTGATATTATAAATAAATTCAATTTGCGCATTCCAGATAAGCAACCTGATCATTCAGTTCTTTTATGTGAATTATCTTTAAACCATGTGAGTAATGTTTCTGATGCATATACATATGAAAATGACAATCACTTTGATGATGCTAAGAAAAGGTATGATGTACGGAATGTTCCAAATAATTTCATGGAAAATGATGCTTTTAATGATATTTTAAATGATGCAATACTATCTATTGAAAACGCACTCAATGTATCAAATGATGTGAATAATGCATATTGTATTTTTGAAAATCTTGTACTTAAAGAAATGGATAAAAACCTTCCTGCAAAATCTAAACACACATGTCAAAACAAACGTAAAAAATCTATGTATAAGGCATATTGGTGCAAGGAATTGGATAATGCATGGGAACAGGTGTGTAAATCTGAAAAAGCCTATATAAAATGTAAACATGGAGTATATCAAAAACGTGCCTTGAAAGCCACATATTGTCAAGATAGAAGGTATTTTGATCGTTTAAATAGAAAATATAAACGTAATTATCAACGTAAGGAAGAAATGGAATTAATGAACATGTGTAATGATAAATACGATCAAAAGTCTTTCTGGAAACAAATTGGTAAAATAGGCATATCTGAAAATAGGCAAAACAGTATTCCTATGCAGGTTATCGACAGTGATGGTCAAATGTCAACCGATAAAAACACAATTTTGAACCAATGGGAAGTAGAGTTTCAGAAACTGTACAATCAAAAAGATAATCCCAATTACAACTCTGAGTTTTTTCACTCTATTCAAACTGAGTACAACTCAATGAATACCGATGAGTCCAAGGACGTAAACCCTGATTTAAACAAAGATATTTCTTTACAGGAGGTCATGTCAAGCATAAAAAATGCTAAACTGAGAAAAGCCGCTGGTTTTGATCGAATACCTGCTGAGGTTATAAAAAACCGGGCGTGTATGACATTACTTCATTTGATTATCGCATACTCATTCACTCACTCCATTGTTCCAGAACAATGGAACATGGGGATAATTAACCCAATTCCAAAATCTGGTAACAAAGATCGTCGAGTTCCTTAAAATAGCCGCGGAATAACCTTGATCTCGATACCTTGTAAGGTTTATTGCGACATTATAAATTCACGCTTGACTGACTGGATTGAGAAAAATGGTAAACTTGTTGATGAACAAAACGGCTTTCGCAAGGAACGAAGCTGCCAGGACCATCTTTACTCATTATATTCTATTGTTCATAACAGACAATTATCTAAACTGTCAACTTTTGTTTGTTTCGTAGATTTTTCTAAAGCCTTTGATAATATTAACAGACAATGTCTGTTTGTAAAATTGAATAGAATGGGCATTAAAGGTCGTATATATCATGCCATAGTCTCACTTTATGAAAATGTGCAATGTGAGGTGAGAATAAATGGTACTTTAACAAATTGGTTTCCCATTTCAAAGGGTGTGAAACAAGGGTGTAAAATTTCACCGAGTCTTTTTTCAATATATATTAACTCTTTAGCCACTGAGATTAAAAATTTAGGTCTTGGTGTAAAATATGGTTTGAATGAAAATATTAGTTTACTCTTATATGCTGATGACATCGCTTTAATTGCTGCAAATGAGTTTGATCTTCAGACAATGTTAGATAAATTAAATGAATGGTGCAATAATTGGCGAATTCAAATCAATACTGAAAAAACCCAGGTTTTACATTTTCGCCCCAAAAATATTGTACAATCAAAATTTGTTTTTCTCTGTGGATTGAACACAATATCCTCTGTAAATGAATACCAATACCTAGGTTTGTATTTAGATGAGCACCTTACTTTTAAAAAGGCAATTGAAACATTAGCAGCCTCTGCTAGCAGAGCTCTTGGAGTCATTATTGCTAAATTTTACCATAAGGGAGGTTTTACCTTTGATGTTCTCACAAAACTTTATAATTCACTTGTTTTACCAATTATGACATATGGATCTGGTATTTGGGGAGATAAACCACGTGGACTGCTAAATAATGTTCAAAATAAGGCAGCCCGTTTCTTCCTAGGTGTTGGAAAGTACACACCAAATGATGCTGTAAATGGCGATATTGGATGGCCTTCATTTTATAGCGTTCAACTTAAGGAAACCTTTCGTCAGTGGTGTAGACTTACAAATATGAATAATTCCCGTGTTACTAAAAAGATATTTACTTGGTCCAAAAATGTAAGAAAATCCTGGGAATACCAGGTCATTAAGATTTTTGATCAAAATGGCTTAACAGATTTCACTGATAAAGAATGTACACAAATCCATGGTACTAAGGCCAAGATTAAAAGTTTTCAAAAGAAACTTATCGATAAACATCAAATTGATTGGCATATAAACTTATGGAATGACAATAAAAACAAAGAAAATGGTAATAAACTTAGAAGTTATAGACTCCATAAATCTCGTTTTCATACCGAGGAATATGTTGAGATGTATTTACCTAGGATTTACAGACAAGCTCTGGCAAAACTTAGGTGTGGTGTATTACCTCTGAGGGTAGAAACTGGAAGATATAATCCCAAATTAGACCTTCATGACAGGATTTGTTTAATGTGTGATATGCAGGAAGTTGAAAATGAAATACACTTTCTAATAGATTGTCCATTGTATAATGATTTAAGATATGATGTTTTCACTTACATGTCATCATTGCATCCTTCTTTTGAAAATTCAACAAATTTAGCAAAATATTGTTTAATTATGTGTGATTGCAATGTTTACATGCTAGCAAAGCTAGTATATTGTATGTTTAAACGACGTAAATTATTTTTATTGTAAATTTTATTCAGTGTCTCATAAGTCGGCAACGGCTGGACGTGTACATATTATTCTTTTACCTCTACATGTGTATGTATATTTTAATTGTTTTTTAGTGTAAATTGTATACGTGTGACACTTAAATAAACTATTTTAAACTAAACTAAACTAAACTAAGCGCTTACGAAACTAACTATTACAGATGCCAAACACCAACCACTGAATACTGATCATAAGCCGCCAAACACCAGCCACAAAAAGTTGGAGACTATAATAAACTTCAGAACTGCAATTATACAATATTTTCCAGCTTACCATTTAGCCAATACAACAGCTTCATCCAATCCTGAAAGCTCACATATATTGACTTCCTTATTTAGCTGTATCTGATCTAGGACTGTGTCATCATTCAATGCAAGGTTCTGAAACAAAATACGATGCAATATTAGAAGTGAAGTCACACTGCGAGAGCACCATTTTTCACATGAATAAAATTCAAATGCATGTAAACAATTGTCAAAATAAAATACTTCCACTTTAAATCATACCATGCTTTTTAAGATGTTAACCTTGTTATGGGAAACTGCATTCTTGGCACATTATTTGTAAAAACTGGGCAAATTAGGTTGGTTTCAGTTTTTTCTCTAATTGAGTTACTAGATCAATCATTGGGTAATAAATACATCTACAGTGGGGCTGGCACGGAATAGAATGGAAGAGATTTTGACTTCGGAATTTTGGAACTTTCGGAATTTCATCTTATTAAGATATATGTAATAAGTATATGTTGCTATGTTTTATAAAACAAAACAGATTTCAACTGCAGACAGACAAGCCATTTTGATATTTCCATTTGACATTTCCATGTGCCTAGATATTCTATTTTTAGAAAGAAAACAATAAGCTGGTTGACTATACAAGAAGGGGAGTGAACAGGATAGCCAACTTGAATTTACGAAATCTAAAAACAGAACCGAAAAATCACTAGAATCTAAAACTAGCCATGCTTGGTTGTAATTTCAAAAATGCAGATTATTTGAAATACTGTGTTCTGATTGGCTAGAGTTTGGTATATCAAGCCTAGCTATGAGTGAATTAATAATGCTAAAACATGTCTTACCCGTGGCATATTTTTCGGAGGCTTATCATTTGGAGGCTTTAGTTGATTGTGAGATCTAGTTACGTTTAGTACAAGTTGCGGTAACTCGGTTTCTTGCCATTTGGTTCTCTTTCCCAGCTCTCCTGCAATGTATGGACATGGGTCATATCTTTAACAAAATAGATTACAGAGAGGCAATGTCATCCGTGTAGTAGTTGTCAGACACTCAGTGTATGCAGTCATTTGCCCGACAATCACCTTCATGGACGACATTGTTCCTATCCTCTAATGGCAATGGCAATGCCAAACAGTAGCAAATCCTGTAAAATATTCCCCCAAGTGAGGTATTAGTTAATGAAAACACAGAATGAAGTGCCAACAGCTGATGGAAATAGTCAGTCCATCCAAATAAGAGATCCATCTCAAGAGTCTTCATTCACAAGATGAGTGCTCTACCACTGAGCAACATACCTGGCTGACGTTTCCACTTCAACATTGTATATACATGCTTTGTTTTGCCTTGTGTAAATAATAAATTGTCTAATTAATCCATTATTTCTATTCTGTTAGATGTTTTAGGTATATTCATAAACAGGACTTGAAGTACCACTTCATCCCTTATTAAATTCTATATACTGTATATTCACTTCAGTGAAGTATGTTAGGATTTGTTTTTGTAAACAAAGAATTGCGTTCATTCACTAGAAATCCTAGGAATAAAAACATTAATAAATGAATTGTACCATGGGTACAGGTCCCGCATGTTGTCATGATTTCAGTCTAATTATTGACTTGAAAACCTCATATGAGAACGAAGATTTTTTGCAATCATTAATCAAAGCATATTTCTTATGTTTTGCTCTAAATGTGATTTTTCCAAGATAAAGTTGCAGCAATTTTGAATTTTTGCTAGAATTTATGTCAAGATTTTAAACCTCATTGACAACTATGAATGGGAACGTACCTGTAAATTCTTATGAAAATAGAAGCAATCATTCCTAAAAAGTGTATTTTCCACATGAAAATATTGGCCATCCTCAGTATTTTACCAAGACTATTTGTCAAGACTTTTAGACCTTATTTGTGCCAGATAGGTGACCAGATTAGGAGATTTTAATGCAAATCAAAACAGCAATTTTTAAATTATGGCTACAAAAGTGGCAGCCATTTTGAATTTTCACCAATTTTTTTGTCGAGACTTAACACGGCATTCGTAATAAATATGAAAACAAACCTGCAAATTTTAATGCGAATCGAAGTGACAATCCCTATAAAAGCTCAAAAAGTGAATTTTCGACAAAAATGGTGGCCACTTGAAAATAGACTAGCTTTTGAAGCAGGAGTCACATGGTTTTCTTCAAAATTAATAATGAACAAAAACTACTTGAAATTAGAATTCTATTGTTGATAGACTTTTTTTCTTTTTTTAAAACTAATTTCAAGAATAAAACATATATACAATTAAACATAGGCCTAGTTGCATTGTTTAATTCTATACAGTTTTTCTTTTTCAATATATGCATGTATACCGCCAGTTTTGTCTCTATTAAAATAGATAGACAGACAGATGGACAGATGGACAAACAGGCAAGTAACTGACTGCAAAGTTCACATGCATGTGAGCTAAAATGGAGTATCCAGGTTCTTTGTTTAGATTTAAGTCAATTAATGTAGATGACTTCATAACAGATCCTGAATACATCCTAGCATTTAAATATTGCACAAAAGTTCATATAAAATTAATAATAACACTGCAGGCCTGGTATTTGTATTCAAAATATGACATTTATTCCTGTGCACATATCCTCACATATAGCAAATGTCGTTCTGTCAGAGTAATTAGATATATAAATTGTATCCCACGATAGGATAGCTTATCATATCAATGTACCATTAAACGATGCAATACGCTCAAAAAGAACAAGTTAACAAGTAGTTCAAACACTTTTTTCTGATTTGAAACATTTAAGATTAAGATTTTGGAATTAATATAAGCCAAAAATGCAACATAAACGTAATAGACTATCAGTATAATTACAATACTAGACAATGACATCACAGCATATATGATAAGTGAAACTATGCAAAAAGTCGAATTTACAACTCGAATATAATATATCTACGCATATGTGATAAACAACAATGAATTTAAATCTAACAAATACGAGTCGGAACAATGCAAGTCTACTGAACTTCACAATTACAAATCAAAACAACACTGACAATGTGACAAATAGCCACTTGGATGACATGTGGTATTTTTCGATTGGAATATTAATATTATACATCGTTGTGATTTCAGTTGGAATGAGTGGAAATGTTTTGGCGCTCAGAGTTCTGTTCAAAGAAAACACAAAAACAAAACAAACTCAGGTGTTTTTGCTGAAAACATTAGCTATCACAGACTTGATGTTCTTAATAAGTGTGACATTAACACATCCAGCGATGATAGGCGATAATGACAAAAACCTTAATAAGCACTACGGAAATTTTGCAATAGTCACACGTTTATTTGGGTCAGCTGTAGGAGCACTGACATTATGGATGGTTGTCTTGGTAACAGTGGACCGATATATACGCATCGAAAAACCACTTCAGGCTCCGATTATTTGCAACATCAAACGTATGAAAAAAGTTGTTGGAGTTTTGACAATAGCATCCATCATTTTCACCATACCGAGAGTGTTATTTGCTTATGACAGAAATACTTTCAACACCATAGCCAAAAAGAGACAATATTGGTTTATAAATGAAGTTATTCTTAAATCGCTATTCATATATATTGGACCAGTGATTACAGTGTCAATACTAAATGTTAAACTGATCCAATCCATCAGAAGATTTCAACACAATGTTCAACAACTGACTGATGGTAGAAAAGATAGGAAACAAATCTTAACAATGATAGCTATAATGTCTGTATTTACGCTGTCCTCTATTGTATGTGCGGTGTATAACAGTTTGATAGGGCTCGCATTGTGTGGTATCATAGATGTTTCAATAGAAGTATCCGAAATTAGTTTCCAAATTGCACAGTTTATATTCATTTGTAACATATCTTGCAATTTCTTATTTTATTTCCTTTTTGGAAAGAAATTCAAAAGGGAATCCAAGAAAATTCTGCTGTGTAAAAACTAATATGCAATTGATGCAAAATAGACTGAATTCTAATGAAGAAATATCAAGAATAAACTCCCTAAGGAAATTTATTATACATATTATAATTAGGCAGACTATTCTCTCTATGATTATTTCTTACTTGAGTTTTTGGGAACTTTTTCTCGTAAGATGTAAACGGTGCAATGTAAGTAACATAAATCATAAGGAAATTTGTTCATTCAAAATTAAAAGAAATCATCCCTGGCTATGATTACACTGATCCTGATATTTTCAAAACCCTAATGACAAACCAAAACTAAACTGTTCAATTACATGGTAAATTCATTTATTTTAGATTTAAATTTTGATCAATGTGTGTTAAGTGTACATCACTCTGTATGATAATTTGTATTTTTGGAGTTACAGTTTTATGTTAAATGTACATCACACTGTATGATAATTGGATTTTTGTATTTATTGTGTTAACTGTACATCACAATGTATGATAATTTGTATTTTTGTAGTTATTATGTTAAATGTACATAACAATGTATGATGATTTGATTTTTTGTAGTTATTGTGTTAAGTATACATCATGCTATATAACAATTTGTATTTTGTGGTTATTGTCTTAAGTGTTCATCACGTTGTATGATAATTCATATTTTGTAGTTATTGTGTTAAGTGTTCATAACAATGTATGATAATTTGTATTTTCTCGTTATTGTGTTAAGTGTACATCATACTGTATGACAGTTTGTATTTTCTAGTTATTGTGTTAAGTGTTCATCACACTGTATGATGGTTTGAATTTTTGTACTTATTGTGTTGAGTGTAAATTATGCTGTATGACAGTTTGTATTTTGTGGTTATTGTGTTAAGTGTTCATCACGCTGTATGATAATTTGTATTTTCTAGTTATTGTGTTAAGTGTAAATCATGCTGTATGATAATTTGTATTTTCTAGTTATTGTGTTAAATGTACATCACACTGTATGATAATTTGTATTTTCTAATTATTGTGTTCAGTGTACATCACACAATGTATGATAATTTGTATTTTCTAGTTATTGTGTTAAGTGTACATCACACAATGTATGATAATTTGTATTTTCTAGTTATTGTGTTAAGTGTACATCACACAATGTATGATAATTTGTATTTTGTATATTTGTATTAGTGTTTTAGTGACCAATGTATCATATAACTGGCATAAAATGTCAATAAAAGATATTCTAATTAATTAGTGTTATTGATGATTTATATTTCATAAGACTAGGATTGATTCAAACCAAAATGTATAAAGGACAGGTGGCGGTAAACCCCTCTTTTAGCCCCCCTACAAAACAAGTATATATTGACATGGAATTGAAGAGGAAGTATGACTCATTACTTAAAATGTGATTTCTGAGAGTTTTGACATTTGACCTTGACACTAGGGTGGTTTAAAGGTCAACTTTGAGAGTTGCTATTTTTGTCAAAATTTTACTGTTTCTAATCCAAGAAATGAGAGCAATTGGCTTTATTTTGATTGTGACTGATAAAAAGACATGTGAATAGAAATAATTTTTTTTTAAATAAATTATCACGGGCAATTACCTGAAAATAAATCCCGATATGGGCATTTTTAGGGGGACTAAATTTTCTTGTTTCAAAAATGATTGCTCTTGTTGCCTTTTAAGACTCTAACAGTATCCTAAGCATGTTTTAAGAGTTGAGATGTTATTATTATTTTAAATGCCCATGGGCAATTAGGATAAAATGTCTGAAATTAAATGCACACAAGGGCACTTCAAAAAGAATGGATTTTCTTATTTCAATTGCTTCTCGCCATGCCAGTTTTCTAAACATATTTGCCATATTCTAAATAGTTATAGGGTCACTTTTACTTAATGCCCATTGGCATTTTATTTGGCATTTGAAATTAAAATGTTTGAATGTACACTTACTTTTAAAATTATTTGCCAATTTGCAGTTCCCATATTTGAAACACAAATAATTCAGAGAAATCCTCTCTCAATATTATCATAAAATATAAGGCAGCATCATGTATGAATGGCATGACACTCAAAGGATTGCCTAAAATAATTTCTACTTATTCCCTATTTAGAAAAACACTTAGGCCATTCAAATACTATTTTCTTATAATAATGTCACTAAATTCTATGTTTTCAGAAAAAAACAAAATGTCCACATGTACTCTCTACTTGTAATGTATATAAATGACAAAGGGAATTGTGATCTTGGATTATATTGCAGCGAAATGAGTTCCAAGATTGATTAAAAACTATGTACATGTATATAAACTTCATTAACAAGGTCATCTGAACTCAAGAGGTGTGTTACTTGCTTTGGCACAATGTGTTATTGCATTTTCACTCTTAAATAATATATAAAACCCTTTAAAATAAATGAAGGTTTTGTAGTTTTTATTAATATAAGGCTCTTCATCAGAATGCCAACATATAATTAATTTTGGATGGCCTAATCTGTACATGCAGTTATGTAGTGTACATGTATGCCCAGGTTAGCAGCCATATTGAAAACATAAACCAGTCAGTCTTATTTTCATCACAAAAGTTAAGTTTTAGTGGTGAGCCCAAACTCCCACAAAAATGATATTTGCAGAGAAGTTACTTTACAGTCTCTGCATTATACAGTTTCAATATATTTTTTGTGGGAGTGTGGGCTGACGGTTAATTTTTCAATGAAAGGGAATGAGCACCATGCTAAAACTTGATAACAAAGTGAACGAAAAATGACAATGTTTTCTAGATTTCCATAGGTAAACTACATACATCGCTTGATTTTGTCAATTTTCTTCTCCGAATACTTGTATGCCATATGTTCCATATATTAAATTCTATATAATGATAAGTTTTGATATTATTTTGATGGTAAACATAATGTGTACCCATATTCAGACAGCCTTGTGATAGGGGTTCTTACTGCCAATTTTTCAAAGAAACGGAGAACTAATGCCACTTTTTGAAATTGCACATCTCAAGAAGAAAGGTTTATCTACAACTTGCAATCGGTTTTAAAAGAAAATGGAAGAATGAGTTTTTCAGAAAAAGTCTAAGTGGACCAATAGTCTGTTAAATGGACCTGTTCTTTCTCTGAAGAGCTTCATTGGTTAGGTTGCTTAATCCACAACACTGCCTGAAAAAAACTTACTTTTATTTTGTATTAGATGCCTTATCTATCTAGCAGGCTTAAAAGAAAGTTTTTCGTTTAATGTTCTTTATAATAATAAATACTCAGACATGATAACCACTTTATATGTCAGACAAATTAGTAGATTAAATGGCACATAGATGTGTAATAGGTCATCAGTTCAGATTTATTTGGTAACTGAATGTGATAACTCAAAGAACAATATAATAAAAAAATGTTATTTTGAGAAAAGAAAACCATTTATTTGATTAAAATGTTAAGTAAAGTTTGGTAATTCATTCTACTTGAATACACATTAACCTCAATGATTTATAATATATATTACAACTCTACACATAAAGCAAGTGTAAGTATGAGCCACAATAATGAACATTAATTCAAACAAAAATAAATTACTCTACAGTTCCTTAAACAACACTGACTATGCATATAAGAATAGTGACTCAAATGACATTGGGTACACTTTTATAATAAACTTGCACTTCTGCAACATATATCCTATTCTGAGGTCTGTATTACACTTATTACGTGTTATGACTCAATATAAGCAGACAAAGAATGAACCGGAACTTGCTTCATTCTGTGACAATGTTTTAAATTCTAAAGAGTGCAATTGTTCATAGTATAGCTCAAGCTAAACTTGAACCATGAGATGATTGTTTATGATGAAAAGAAAATGCAACAATTTGTAACAGATGCTAAACACCAATTCTTGGTCATGCCATTCTATATTGTCTAAAGAATACAGGGAAACCATCAAGCTCTCCATTTGTACATTCTAAAGAGAAATTGAGTGAATAAAGCGTGACCAGTGATATTTAGCATGTTTATCCTCACCTGTTGTTTCTATGTGAAGACCAGCAATGTTTTCAGCATCAGCGAAATGTTGCTTGCCTCTAGTTCTCTCATAGTAAAAATTGCACATGTAGCCAGCCTCAAGGTTGAAACGTACAGCAGCATTTCTACAAATTCAATTATACATTTGGTTTCATTAGGCCAATGGAGTTAAAGTATTTGTTTTCTGTCAGAGGTGTGCACATATTGCCTGTTCTTAAAAAACACACAAAAATATTCTCAAATATCCAGTTCATCAATTAACAATCAAAATGGGATGAACTAATAATGGCAAGGGTTTCAAAAAATGTCTACCAAATAAACAAAATAAACAACAACAAAAAAAAGGTAATCTGCTTTGGGCTGATCAAAGAGTCGAAGGTTTGTCTTTGTTGTGTGTTTTCACCTGCTTGTTGATATGAATTTCACCAGAGACAGGAAACAAAGAAATTAAGTCCATTGGCGTCGTTACACATCTCTTATCTACTTCACCTCCATCTATATTACAATGCTCATACTATATCTGTACCACCAATGACAGTTTTAAGAAAGGGTAAACTAAGTTTATAGATTTTCTACTCACTTATATCCTGTATCACTCAGCAATTTAACCATGGATTTTTCTGCAAAACATCAGAAAACAAAATCTTTTTTTATGACGGAGCATGACAGAAATATATAAAAATACACTTTTGAGGTAATAGGTAAATTTTAACTAGTGGGTAGAGCAAAGATCGCCGTCATATGAATATTTTGATTGATTAAAAAAGATACCACTCCCCTGCCTAAAAGCGTTTTCATTAAGTTTACTAGAAATAGGAAAGTTTTTGCTTCAAAAATGTCACTAATTTCTATATTCAAAAATCCTTTCCTACTCAAAAGTTACTGAAACTTTGAAAATAAAAGATACTTTTTCAAGCACTTTTTCAAAGAAACATTTTTTTTAAATTACAAGAATTTATAATAAAGAGCCTTACAAAAAGTTAATGAAAAATAAAAAAAAAGTTTTCAAGATTCAAAAGTGTTAATCATTTTGAACACCCTGTAGTTTTGATCCTGTTTATTCCTTTTCCAGCCCCATGACAAAATAAACAAACAAATTGACAGTCATTGTACAGCATAGACTGATGATATAAAAACAATACAACATTTAATCCAACATTCAAACATTTATTCATTAAGTAAACATGACAATTGCACAGTTCAGGGTGTCCTCATGAACTTGACCTATGTGTAGTGTCAGATAACATTGGGCAAACATTACAACAGATAAGTTAAATATTGTTGGACATGAACACACTGTGAACTATTAGTCCTGCAATATGCATGGATGTAGTCATACTGAAACGACAAAACAATAAGGACACACAGTAATTTTGATTACAATTGATGCAAATATATTTGAGGTGAGGTACATTTTCTAACTGACAATCTGGTAAACAGCACCAAGAAAATAAGGTCAATGCAAGAAGAATTTTAGTAATTTGATTCAGACTGTTTATAGCTTTATTCATCAGAACAAAATCAATATAAAAACAGAAGAAAATAATATCTTGCAATATTTCATTGAACCTCAGGAGGATAGGCTCCCAGGGATGCAATTCGATATTTTCCAACAATGAAAATGTCAGAATGTAGTTACAGTCTGACATTATAAGTGACTATAAATTCACAATAACAGTCCAAAAGATTCAAACGAATATCACTTCTTGTGTATTTTGGAATTTTTTGTTTGGAAATAAGACCAAAATTTGTGATTCAAATTCTGAAGAGAACACAATGGCGAATGTTTGAATTTGAATTTTGTAATCATGACATCTCCATATATGGCACAATATCGAGTTGGAACCCTGGGAGCCAATCCTTACAGTAAACCCAACAAATATATTTCAGCGAACGATCCTGACATCTATCTCTACATTATCAAAATTTTCTTCAATAATAGCCTATTGTATTCAATAACAAAATATCTTTGGCAATACATTTGTATACCATTGTACTTGTATATTCTATTTCATGCAGAAATGGAAGAGGCCAAAGTGCATTTGGCTGAAAAGGGTTGGGCAATAATCGAGAATGCACTGGACCATGCAGATTGTGACCGCTACGTGAATAAATACAAACAATGGCTCCAACATGTCAAAAAGGTTGAAGGAGGTTTCCCAGAAAACTATAAAAGCTTGCTCACTGAATACAGGTCAGGGTTGTGCTTTAACGTTTAAATGAACTCCTTCCTGTATTTGTAAACATGTATACAAAGCCTGGCACAAGCAACCTTCTCTTGACTTGCTATCTACATGTAATATGAGTAAACAATTTAATTCCATTCATTTTCAAAACCACAATCATTATGGATATTTCATTTATACTGTAGATCAGGACACATGGAACCAAGTTGGGAGATACGCCTCAAAGTGAAACCCCTATTCGCAAAACTCTGGGGAACTGATAAACTTCTGTCCAGTTTTGATGTGGCAGCAATTGGGAGGCCACCAGAAGAGGGCGCCACTGAGTTCCAAACAGAAGGCTCTCATTGGTTACATTGTGACCAATCAGCAGAGAGGATTGGCTTGCATGGCTACCAGGGAGCAGTGTACCTAGAGACGGCTGATGAGGATGACTGGTGTTTCCATGTCTTGGAGGGTTCCCATGGTTACCACACAGATTTCTATGATGAACATCCCCAGCATATAAATAACAGTATAAAACAGACATACCATAACCTCACTAATGATGAAGTTACCTGGTATAAGAATAAAGGGGCTGTTGAAAAACGTATTGGAGTGCCAAAAGGGGGACTTCTTTTGTGGGACTCTAGAACAATCCACGCTAATGCTCTGCCTATAAAAGGGCGCAAACATCCGAAAAGATGGCGTTACATTCTTATTGTTGCTATGTTACCAGCAATCTGGACCAATGAGGGTGATCTTGCAACAAAGCAGGAATCATATGAGAAAATGTACAACACTGGTCACTGGGCTGCAGAGGGAGTAGAATATTATCCACCTGGTAAGCATGTAGAATGTTACGTCACCCAAGTCATTCTTATCCTATGTTTTTAAAATTACCTTAACATTTGCAATAAGTGTAAGATATTCCCGAAGCTATACTATCTTGAGTATTCACTACACTATTACAGTGAAACCTGTAAAGTGGAACACCTCTGTTAGTGGAACACTTTTAACAGTCTCAAGGCCAACTGACTTTATGTTAAATGAACCACTATTAGTGGAACACCTCCCAAGCGAAACACCTTTTAGAGGTACCAAAGGTGTTCCACTTAGACAGGTTTTACTCCTTCCAATTTTTCAATTCCATTTATTTATTGCAATTTCCATTTTGAATGATGGCCCTTTACTTTTCATCAACAGGTAAACACACCAATGATCAAAACAGCATCACTGAACTCCCTGCCATTGCAAAGACTATTGAGGCCAAGCAGCTAGCAGGAGTGATTCCATATGACTTCTATGATGGTGAACCATGTGGTCCAGAGTGGAGGCCAGAGTGGAAAACTTATGAAGAATCATGTAGAAAGTGGGGCAAAGATAATGTGGGACCTAGAGAAGCAAACCAATATCTATAAACGCAAGAGATATACTTGTATAGAAATTGTATAAAATCACTGAATGCCCCTTACAATAAAATGGACGGGTCAATAAACATTTAATTTAGAAACGTTTAAAAAAGACGATTTCCTCAATAAAATACTAACCTGTTGCCAGGATGAACAAGGCAGGAACATGCAAAATATCACCACCTACCATTTGTTACAGACCTCAAATGCCAGATACCGACCGTCAAACCAAAACATTAAACACCATCCACAAAAAAGTTGGAGATTACAGTGTAACAATAGTGGTGTTGACATAAAAATTAACTTACTTTGTTCTATGATTTCCATTGCCAATTTCTTCAGTGTTGGAGAGCGTTCTTCAATCAACTGTTGCCATACACGAATCAGCCTTAGCAACCACCAGTCTCCAGTCTGAAATTTTTTACTTTTGCTTCAATCAAATTCCACATTTTTCTAGCCATTAAGATATAATTTATGAATTTATGTTCATGTAACTCTGTACCTAAAAATGGCTTTCTTAAAATCTACTGTTCTTAACCTGGAAATGCACAGACAAGAAAAGTGAGACGCCATGTAGCACCAACCTTCCAAGCTGACAACAATATAGTACATTTTTGTAGATACATTGTATAATAAAACATGAGATATTCTAAAACCTGAGTACTTTAAATTCATGTAACTGGGATCATATAGCATGTGCATTGGGGGTCACAATACTTATCTGGAAAGATCAACCCTCCTACAAACTACTGGGTAAAACTGTCTTAGTGAACACCTCTCTCTAGTGAACACTTGTGTTTTGTGAATGGCACTTTAAGACACATTTTACATAGACTACTGTATATAAAATCCCCTCTCTGTAATGAACACCTGTGTTTATTGAACAGCACTTCAAGTCACATTTTACATTGACTACTGTATAAAATTCCCCCTCTGTAGTGAAGACCTACCAGAGTGAACACTTTTGTGGCTCCATAGGTGTTCACTAATATAGGTGTTCACTAATACAGGTTTTACCTTAATAAATTCTTACATGTGTATCCTTGAGGTGATGTCTGTTGTCATGTAGGATTATCTTCGCCAGGTACATATATTCAATATCCTTGCATATCGGGTAGACAGTGTCACCATCTATTGACAAATCACTGATTGCGTCTTCTCTGAATGCATCCAGCTTCAAAAATATCATCATATTTTAGAACGTATATGTTGTTAAATGTATAATATAAGAAGTTATGTGAAATGGCACATTTAAGCAAGATATGGGATAACTGGTAAAATTATTTGTGAAAATTTCACAGAACCATTTTGTTGAAAATGATAACATTTATGATGAAGCAGAAACACAGATATTATGCAAATTGATAACATTTAACGATTCAGAAACACAAATATTTTGCGAAACCTTCAGAAATGTTCAGAACTAGTTTAAGAATCAACATTTGTAATTATTTTCCAGATTTACGGGTGCAAATAAATTTACCTGCTCTTCCTCAACCTCAAAGTAGTCACTGGGTTTGGAGGTTGATGGTGGGCCTATCCAGTTATTCTGTACAAACAGCTGAAGGGCTGCTATACCTGTAGACAGCAAACGATTCTCCCTGGAAATAGCAACAAATACAAGGAATAAGCAAAAATAAATATAGTAACACACAGATATGTGACAAAATACTGGTTATGAGCATTTGAGAGCATTTTCTTGGGAATAGCATTTTCCAAATACAATGTTCTGAAAACTATCTCCTAATTATATCATATAATTAATTTTTAGCCCACATTATATTCTTTAAGTTTTGTGTGTTTCTCACCCTACAGTGAATTTAGGAAATATGTATTCAGGCAACATCATGTCTTTGGGAGGTGTTCCGCTATAGATTATAGAGGTTCTACTTTATGTAATTTTATAGGCAGGTGAAAGGAAGAATATAAGTTTTTCAAATACCAATTAACCGACTCTCGTTAATGAAACAAAGTATGGTCTTAATTAAATCTATTCTAGAGATAGAAGCCGATACATTCTCATACTTACATATGATTACTTTTATGATTTCTCATGGTATCATCGATTCCTTGTTGAATAATGTCCCTGAGTTTTGCATCTTCCTCCACATCAGACTCTTTGAGGAAGTCAGCTGAACAGTCATCATCCAACACACGTTCATATTCACTGTTCAGCAATGAAACAAATAAGCTGCATGTTTCACAATCTGAAACAAATAAGCTGCATGTTACACAATCTGAAACAATAAGCTGTATGTTACACAAACTGAAACATTAATAAGCTGCATGTTTCACAATCTGAAACAAATAAGCTGCATGTTTCACAATCTGAAACAAAGAAGCTGAAAGTTTCACAATCTGAAACAAATAAGCTTCAAGTTTTACAATCTGAAACAAAGAAGCTGAAAGTTTCACAATCTGAAACAAATAAGCTTCAAGTTTTACAATCTGAAACAAAGAAGCTGAAAGTTTCACAATCTGAAACAAATAAGATGCATGTTTCACAATCTGAAAAAAAAGCTGCAAAAATAACTATCAAATTCTACATGACTGTAGTGTTTTAGAGTTAAAAAACAAAGGAGATATTTAACATTTTCCCCTTTTGAATTCAGTCAAATATTTTGTTAAGTATGTTGTGTATCAAAAATGCTTTCAGTACTACAACTTCCATTTCCATTGGATTGTGTGTCAAGAAAACCTAAAAAAATAAGCAATATGGCAACAGTCATATTTGACACGCAAAAAGGTTTGTATATTTCAGATAAATTAGTTATGTGCAATAAACCTGTGGCATCTTGAAACATAGGAAGTTTTCAACCATATTAATCTATTTGGAAACTACATGTCAGAAAAGCATCAAATTATATTCAAAAGACCTCATATAAAATAAGGTCTTTTGATTGCTTACTTTTAAGTAGGTTATATTGATGCACTACCCAAAAATTGGACTATACCAAAGGCCAAGGGAAAAATAGTATTAAGCTCATTATAGGAACCTGAGCTACTACTTTTTTCACGGCCTGACTGCGTCGCTAGAATTTGAAAAATAAGAGCTAGCTAAAGATTTTGAGTCTTACCTTCTAGAGATTAGAAAGCAAATTTAAATTAAATCCTATCACTAATGTTGCATCAACCATTGGCACAATATCCATGAGATTAAAACTTTGAATGAAAACAAATGATTTCCTTGCGAGTTCAAGAAGTTTTAATACAAAAAATTACCAAACATATGTGAAAATCTAATGTTTGTTCATTGATTTCATGATTTACCAATCGTCTATATTTGGTCTTAATTATAAAGCATCCTGTAGATCATGCAGTTTATTCTAATTTAGAAGTTTATCCTCCTCTGCACCATCCTAATCCCATCCACAAAACATTCATTAATATTCTAATGATTTTCACATCAGGCATGATTGGTTGTCAACAAAGTAGTTTACGGGTCAATAAATTATTTTGTGATCGCGGCAATGCCTTCTCGGAAATCAACACGAGAGCAATGGAAAAGTTGAAAAAGCATTTACACTAACTTCTATCAAATATTGTGCTTAAGCTTCATATAATTGACAAAACAAAGGTGATAAGGTTTCATTCAAATTTTTTTTTCAAACCAAACGTGTGACATTGACACATATTTCGAACCAAATGCGTGACAAATACATAATTCGCATGAAAACTCCGAACGTAATGCATTCACTTTTTTAGGTGTTAGTTTTTTACCATATTGACGATTTATAACAAGCAGATTTTTTAAACATCAACATCATTTGTGATTTGCGTGACATTTTATTGTACACGGAAAATTGATGCGTGATTTCATATTTTCCAGCAAATGCGTGAAAATCACACCTAATGCGTGAAAATCACACCTAATGCGTGATGGTTGACAGAGCAGTAACCTCTAAAAGATAAGTAAAACCCATTTGCAAGCCCATTAGCAAACTCTTATTTTTCAAATTCTACAGTGTTCACCATCAATAAATGGCATCTTGATTTTCTGTCGCCATTCATAGACCATGGTGATTTGAGACTTTCCAATAATGCTTTAGATAAGTATAGGATATCCTATGATTTTGAGAGATATCATTTTTATCCACGATTTGATATCAATATCTGGACGAGTGAGCGTAGCGAATGAGTGTAGATATTAATATCAACGAGTGGATTAAAATAATATCTCTCAAAATCATAGGATGTTCTATTTATCCCATAGTTCACCAGCCATGGATGTGGTTGGTATAAGTTCATGACCTAACAAAGCATTTCAAAACAACATTCAGTTTTATTTTGTCATTTAAACTGTATAGCCAAAACATAAATCATTTCCATATTTGTGACGTCAAGAAATCACCATGTAAGCTCATGTAACAATGCACGTCACATTTGCGTGAGTTTTCAAATCCGTGGAAAAAAGTGATATCTGTGGAATATTATCTGTATTCTACAGATATCGCTTTTTTCCACGCATTTGCAAATCATAAATAAAAAATATCATAAATAAATATGTGTTATTCTACAGATTTGACCTAAACTATGGGATAAACATCTCTAACTTTTGCATGTTTTACAATTTGAATACTCTCAACTACTACTGTATGCATGGTCACTTGAAAATTCTCTTCTTTTTAACATGGGAAATCCTCACTTCAGCAAATCATGGTGTCATTTATTTATGGTGAGCACTGTAGCGACGTAGTCAGGCTGTGAAAAAAACTATCAGTAGACAGTACTGAAAGTATCAGATGACTCAGGCCCGTAGCCAGGATTTACCTTGGGGGAGCAGTTTTACCAAGGGAGCTTTTGCCAAGAAGGGGAGATTTTTGACAGGGTGTAGGTACGAAATATTTCGGGGAAAATGCGTGACATATACAGTATCTAGCTGAAAAGTCCAAATGAAATGCGTTCGTTTTTTTAGCGTATAGGCGATCTAGTCATATAAATCCGACCGTTGTATGCTGTTCTTCGATATTCCTTGTTCCTATTTGGATATTTATTTTTTATCATTTTCTTAGCATATACGGTCGTAGATATTATTGCTGACAAATTGCGGTAAACGCTTTTCTGGCCTGTCTTGGTAACCATAGTTACCATACTAACCAAAGTCACACAAATTATCGAGTAATTATTTAGCTCCAACATCAAAGTGTTAAATCTTACCTTAGACTAGTCCAACAACATTAGACCTAGCCCGGGCCTCGTTTCTTATCTGACATGTGTTATGGCCCGGCTAGGTCTAACCTCCATGACCATTTTGCCTTTGATGCGTTAATTTAATCGTTCAGCAGGTTTCGACAAGCGGAACAAATTAAACCCTGAAAACATGGCAATATTACACAAAGAATGTGATTCAAACATCCATACATACCTTATAAACACATACACCCCGTCCCGTATCCCCCTTAGACCCTATTGATGCATAATTACGAAAATATTGGAGACAGGTTTGGAAATGACGAAAATGTCGGTCAGTTTCGGTAACATCGAAATTGCAAATCGACCGTCATCACGGCACTGCATTAACGAACAGTGGGTTTGCAATTAATAACTGTTTTGCGTGTATACACGCGCTATATAAATTAATCAAAGATACCTGTTATCCTCAAAATTGATCTTTTTATCCCGAGTAATCGCGATAATAATTATCAATCTATTTGACAACAATTTCGTTTCGCTGGTAGTTTAATTTTACGATCCGGGACACTCAGACGAACAGACACAATGACGGACATGCGGAATGTCACTTTAAAGATTGGTAAGTGTAGCCTCATTTTACTCGTATAAATGAACATTTAACACAAAAATATTGTGTTAAATCGCTTGATGTTATGTGTTTTTATATTATTGTCAAGTATCAGTTGCACGTTATCGCGGAAAAATGGTTTCGATGGATTCAGAACTTGCATCAAAGGAAAGAATAGTAAGGAGGTTAAACTCAATAACGGCCCCAAAAAATTCCTAATAATAAAGAACGCCGTTATTGAGTTTAACGACGTTGAACTAACCTTAGACATGTAAAACGCTTGATAAATGACGAAATATAATCAATTGAATTATATTTTCATTATCGCCCGCCATGTTGCTGAATGTTGTTTCCGGTAGTCTAAATGTAAAACATGTAACGAAACGGAATCATAATTATTTATTACACAGAGTTTGATTCCAAAGCCGTTCTCTCATACTTATTACTTTTCTCATTTTGAAACAATAACTTTTCCAAATAACTTCCCGTCTTAACGACACTGCTTCCCTTTCAACTGAATCTTGTAACAAGTACTTATGATTTCGTTTGATATAGTTTTACATGTAGACTCAGATTAACCCGGAAGTGACCTTGGCATGGCAAAATGAAAAAATTTTAAAATTCAAGCGGCATGCTTATATTTCTTCAATTACCAAGCGTTTTACGTGTCTAAGGTAAGTTTAAATACTTTATAGTTGAAGCAAAGAAATTTATTTATCATTTGTGTGAATCAGAAAAAATAACAACAGATAACATCATACGAGGGTCAGATTTATATGACTAAGGCGATCACTTTTGAAGTTTTTCTACAGAAATATTTTTGCTTGACAATAATCAGGTAAAATGCATATTTGCGTAACATATTCTGTCACGCAAAAAATCTGGCGTGACTTCAAATTTTCCAGCAAATGCATGACAAATACGCAAATTGCGGGACAGTTGGACAGCCTGCCTGCTACGGGCCTGCACAGAATAGTCATATAAATCCGACCGTTGTATGCTGTTTTTCGATATTCCTTGTTCCTATTTGGATATTTATTTTTTATCATTTTCTTAGCATATACGGTCGTAGATATTAAAGCTGACAAATTGCGGTAAACGCTTTTCTGGCCTGTCTTGGTAACCATAGTTACCATACTAACCAAAGTCACACAAATTATCGAGTAATTATTTAGCTCCAACATCAAAGTGTTAAATCTTACCTTAGACATGTAAAACACTTGATAATTGACGAGATATAATCAATTGAATTATATTTTCATTATCGCCGCCATGTTGCTGAATGTTGTTTCCGGTAGTCTAAATGTAAACATGTACCGAAACGGAATCATAATTATTTATTACACAGAGATCGATTCCAAAGCCGTTCTCTCATACTTATTACTTTTCTCATTTTGAAACAATAACTTTTCCAAATAACTTCCCTTCTTAACGACACTGCTTCCCTTTCAACTGAATCTTCGTGTAACAAGTACTTATGATTTCGTTTGATATAGTTTTACATCTAGACTCAGATTAACCCGGAAGTGACCTTGGCATGGCAAAATGAAAAAATTTTAAAATTCAAGCGGCATGCTTATATTTCTTCAATTACCAAGCGTTTTACGTGTCTAAGGTAAGATTAAATACTTTATAGTTGAAACAAAGAAATTTATTTATCATTTGTGTGAATTTGGTTGGGTAGACAGGCCAGGAAAGCATTTCCCGCAATTTAGAAGCGCGGAGTGTGTATGACCCTAGTATGCAAGAAAATAAGAAAAAACAAGAAAATGCAGCAAAACTCCTCGAGTCGAGGTCTCCAAGTCTGTTGATTATCCTGTTTATAACTGATTCAAGAGCGTTGCACTGAACGAACCTATATGCCAATTTGTTATTTGTTTAGTTGTTGGTTGGGTAACATGTTTATGACGTCACAAATGATGCGAAGAATCTTTAAACCAATCAGTGAAGTCTATGTTAATTGTTTGTTTAGTTGTTGATGCGGCAATACGTGTCTGACGTCACAGGTGATTGCATCATATTCCAGTCACGCCATTTTACGACATTGCATAATTTTAGCTGATTTTGGCTTCATTTCACTTTATTTGAAAGACTTTTAAAAATATAATAATGAGTCAGTATTTTTTCTAATAAATATTAATATTTGAATTTGAGTTCAAAGTTCGAAAATTTGATCAACTGATTGAAATCACATTTTAAAGAGGTGAAGAAGTGAATAATTACAGGAGCAAACGTGATCAATGGTTCGAGGTCTCCCGCAAAGTAGTCGCTACGCTCCTACTTCACGCTGCCTTCGGCAGAGGAGACCTCGAAATAAATATCCAAATCAGAAAAATAACTACAAATAACATCATACGAGGGTCAGATTTATATGACTAGCACAGAAGGGCTCACTATTCTAGAATATGGCATATTGGAATTGGAGATTGGAACTCAAATTGTTATATCATATTCCCTGAAAATGAAAAGAATTTCACAAACTCAGGTGTGCACAGGTGAGAAAATTGCAAATTCAGTGAAATTTTATTGAGAAATCAGTTTACCTATTGCTCTTTTATCTATGTCGAAACGCCATTCGATCAAACACATCTCAGATTCCAAATAGTTGTCAACTTCCATTTTCCTTCTTCGTTAGGTATAAATGCCCAGAAAAGTATATTTATCAAATAAACGTTAAATAAAAATACGTGAGCACATGTGAAAATTTTGAACCGGAAGTAAATAAATGAATGACATGCGCAAAGCAAGTTTCCGGTTTCGTTGCTAGCCTCATCACTATGCGGACTAATTCAATAATATTATTTTGAATAACTTCTTTTTGACTAGTTGTGCATTGTTACAAATGTATGTAATTGTCCAGGTGTTCAAATAACAGTATGATTACGGTTGAATTTTCTGCTTTACAATCAATTATGATGTAAGAACTATATCTAACAATCTCCAAGTGCGGAAGAATAAAGCTTTACTAAAAAAGTTCTTAGGCAACAATTTTTAAACTTGTGAAACAATTTTTTTATTTTGGTCCATAAAATAATATTCAGCCATGTCATCTGAAATCGAACAGGAAATTATTGAGGGGGAGGAGGATGTTAAGGACCAGGATGAAGAAAACGGAGAAAATGATGAGGATGAAAATGAAGAATTGGCTGAAGATATTGAAGCCCTCAAAAAAGAAATGGCAAAAATTGTGGTTGAGGCTCCTACAATTGATGTGTAAGAAAAAAGCAACATTATTATTTAACAAAACTTATGCACAAGTAAATTGGCTGGCATTCATTCAACCAGAATGCAAACATGCTTAGGCCTTCGCTGTATTCCCGGCCTTACGTCAGCTATGAAGCTGAGGACAGGGAGGCAATGTTGTCCATGTAGGTAATTGTCGGACACTCAGTGCAGGCCTTCCTTTGTCCGACAATTATCTACATGCCTCCCTGTCTTTTTGTGCTTTAACTCCCTTGATATTTATGGATAGAATAATATTTAACAAAACTTATTCACAAGTAAATTGGCTGAAACATAGGCATTCATGAATGATCTTATGATATATTCGTATTTTTCGTCAAGTTTTGGGGTACCCGTTTTTTTTCGACCGGGTAACGGCCACCAAGTTTGAACCCAGCATGGAGGATTTACTACCCGGTACCCAGTTTTTTCTACAAACCCCAATTATGATGCAGCTACTATCCTCACAAATTTAGAATAATATTTAAAATGAGTAATCACTGCAAGTAAAAGGTTTTAGAATACATGGAGTCTCCAACATAGTGATCTTTACCCAAATTTGTTGACTAGTCTTAGAGTAGTGACTCAATTAAAATAATCATTGTGTTGTGGTTTTTGCTGAATAAGGATACTTTGCAAGCTCAAAGTATAATAAACCTGGGGCATTGGCAATATTCAGGAGTATGATTGATGTTCATTTAGTGGATACAATTGCGAAACACATCTGCTGTCACTTACTATTATCATTGGTTTTCAATGCAAAATATCTTTTCTTTCAGAGACAACAGTGAAACATATGACTTAGAGAACTTCTCAAAATCATATAAAGAAATATCACCAAAAGAGAAACTCATTTTGAGTTTTGCAGAAAATTTCCGCAGACAATATGTTCACCTCTACAGAGATAGAAAGCCACTGTTTTTGAACCCTCTCAATGAATGTGGAGTCGAGGTAAATAGTTTTAAATCCTATGTGTATTGTTCCCTGAAATTGTAACATGTTATCAAAGCCACCCTTTTAGTGAATAATGTTTTGATGTTACCACCACAAGTGATGAAATTGTTTTAGCCTCCAAACTTTTTTGTGGATGGTGTTCGGTGGTTAACAAATGGGAGGTTGGGACATTTTGTAACGAATTGTTTCTTTTGCAACCAGGGGATGTCCTTTTTTAATGTCTATGTCTTGTTTTATATGCATGAAATTCAAAAATATATTTGCTGGAGATGCAGAAATCGAGTATGCAATAATCTTGAAATGTTGCTCATATTTTTTGAATGCGCAATGTGATCAAATGGGAAAACTGCATTATTGACTCCTTCATCTTCAACATAAATAATTTATTTCTTGTTAAATAATTCAAAAATGAAAATTATGAACATTCTTTGGCCAATACTTGTACTCATATTTGCAAAGAATAAAACCGTTTAAATTGAATTTGTCCGAAACAAAAACAATGTTTCAGTATGTACAGTATATGAACATGCATAATGTAAGTCATTGGAAAAAAGAAATGATATCTATCTAATTGCTTGTTTCAGAAATTTGTTTGTACAACAATCAGACCTATACAGCTTCCATATCAGTCTCTGTATGACTGGGATGGATGTGGAGAATTTGTAGCAGACTACCTGAACTTTGTACCCTTAGAACCACCTACAGACTTGGTAAGTAGCACTTACTAAAGAAAATGTTAACTCTTCTAGACTTCAGTTCATATTTCAAATATTGTATTTTTGTGTGTTTTATTATTTGTTCTTGCTTTGCAGCCAAAGCGACTGAAATCTCCAACAACTGTACTCGATGAGCAGAAAGGCAATTGTTTTGAGTACAGCACTCTGCTCTGCTCATTTCTCATAGGTGCAGGCTATGATGCATATGTCGTCAATGGTTACGCCACTAGAGAGACATGTCTCATGGATGAGACTAGAGAAATATGTCCACTTATGCGCAAGAAGGAAGAGGTTGGTAACTTGATATGTTGAAAGTTTGGAATTCTCGTAGAAAAATATTTACAAATGCAAAATATCATGGTGTTATTGTATGGTACACAAAAGAGGGATTCCCACGTAAAATTTTATGTCTTTCAGTTTTAAGATGTACCAATTTTGTTTAATCTGGGCTAAACATATTAAGAAACTTGGCCTTGGTCTTCTTTCGAAATAAGTTTTGTCCCTTTCCTGATAAATTGAATTCTAATATGCTATTGTCTTTTGAATTATGAATGTGTTATATGTGCTGTATTTTCAGAAAACCAGCAGTCAGGAGACAAAACAACAGAGAAAGTATGCAGTGAGGCCCCCAAAGGATTTGAGGAGCAAGTACGAGATGAAACAACATAAGAGAAAGGAAGATGAAGAGGCCACTGAAGCTGAGAAAAGAAGACAAGAAGAGGATAATCGTATAGCTGTATGTTTACTTTATTTTGCTAAAAATTCTAATTTTATTGTCAAATTACCCAGTTATTCTTACATTTTGTATTTTTATAAGCTTTTATAACAGTTTTGAAAAAATCTGTGTTGGAAAGATATATATTCATAGATTTGTTAACTTTTAATTGGTCATGTTTAGGAGCTAGAGAAGCCTCCCAAAGACCCACTTTTTGGTCTACGCATCCACTCCTGGGTGCTTGTTTTGGCCAACAAACGGGAGGTCCCAGAGAGCTTCTTCATAGAACCATTCACTGGTATTGCCCACCCTGTAAACAGTGTAAACTACCTGGGAATTGAGAGTGTTTGGAACCACCATAACTACTGGGTGAACATGCAGGACTGCTCTGAAGGTGTTAAGGTAGGTAATGTTGGATATTCTGAACATCTAACATTGTTGCTTAAGGTGGGCAGAGTGGATTGATTTTGGTACTTTTTTACACCTGACATATCGTACAATTCCATGTGTAAAATGCTTAACACCTAAGGTTATATTATAAGTGAACACATACAATTAATTAAGAGTTATTAAATCCTATGCATTGCTCTCCTTATATGACATCATGTATTCCATGGATACAATAGATTTAGAAATTTCCAACAATTTTTTCTAAAATAGCAGGCCCTTAATATTAAATACAAATTGATTTTTGACAGAATTTTGCCATATTGGATTTGTTACTCATCACCTTCATGTAAAAGGTTCTCAATCTTTTTTGTGCTCTGAATTATATGAATAATTTTCCACTTTCAGAGGTTAAAGTATGACCTTGGTGACCCAACATTATGGGAGTACATGTATCCTAGCAACGAAAAACCACAACTACAGATACCAGATGACATCATGAATGAGTTTGACGATGATGATGAGGTAAATAAACAAATCTCTGCATCAATATACTTGGCCCCTCCCCCACCAATTCTTTCCATGAACCCTTCAGAATTGGTTAGGGAGGGGTTGACAAAAAATTCAATGAAGGCCTTAAATGTTCATGACACATACTTAGAGATGTTAATGAGTTGAATGCACCTGTGAAGACCTGAACACTTTAAAGATAAATGCTTTTAGCCAGTTGCTGCAACGTTAACAAGAGATTGATAGATGTTCCACTTTACCCTTTATCAGACTCTTATGTCTCTCTATGTTTCCTTTCCCAGGATTGTAAATCTGTTGGGTCCATTATTAAGTGACTATTACATCTGTGTGTAAATTGCCATATTCTGTTGTACATGTACTAATGGAAAGCATTTTGATGACATGTATCTTTATTTGGATCTCAACAAGGATAAGCACATGCAAGTTATTTTTCAGGAGGAAGAAGAAATTGAAAAACATTTAGATATGCCACCATCTTGGGTAGATCCCATCAGAGTTGAGGAGAAAGGTAAATATGTGGATTAAATTGATATAAACATGCCCGTTATTTCTGAAGATTCACATGCCCATTATTGTGTTTTTAATGTAAAATCATTTTGGAAAAGGGTTGAATTAACAGAGCAAATTAAATAGCCATTCTAAACACTCATTGCCTTTTGTGTGTATGACTGACAAGTTATGATTTTACAACCACATATATTCAAAGTCAGTTCTCCTGTGGGTATGCCAAATCCACAATCTTTCTCTTTTCTAATCAATTGCTGTATCTACTGCATTTAAAAGTGTATGTATTTTCACCAGTCCGAGATAATCTTTTCAATCAGCTTTTTTGTCTGGTAAACTTGCACTCCTTGTAAATGTATACAAAAACTGAATTCAGTGTCATATATGTCTCATTATAATGAATATTTATTATCTCTTCCCAGACTTTCAACTGAGGTGTCCCCAAGGAAAGAAAACATTACTGTACAAAAAAGCCAAACTGGACAAGTACGCCCCCTATCTGCACAGAGATGGCCTAGTGTCACGACTCTCAGTCTACGATGACTATGAATGTAAGGTTTTTATGATTTCTTTTATTATAGTACAATTTATGATGTAATTGCGCAGGATGAATCTTTGAACTCTAAATCCATGTTATTATAGGATATTCCCAGCAATTCCTTAATAAGATTTATCAACACAGTAAATATGAAATAATCGGTTGGTTTAGAACAATTATTTGTCTTGCTTCTTAAAAAATTGTCAGAAGTTCTTAAAGTTATGTCATGTAAGGTAGTTTTCATTAATCTTAGTATAATCATGACATTTATAGAAAATGATAAATATACACCTGAAATAGCACAAGTGATCAACTCCCTAATGCTCTACATATTTCCGCTAAAGGCCTGAACTCAAATCAATCAAAGCCAAATATGTTTAACTATGTAAAATTAGCTTGGCCCTTCGGTACTTTCTTATCAATAATTGAACACTGCCAAACTATAAAATCATTGATCCCAAGAGTCAAAATCTAGAAAAAGTTTAGGTAAGTTTGAATCAAAGACAATTAATTGATGGATTATAATATTATATACCACATATGTATTCTAGAAGCTCATTGGCTCATTCATGGTCACATGATGGGAAATTGATGAACTAATTCTCTGTAAAGTCCTCATCCCTGTTTAGAGGGAAGGTGAAAAGTACTAATGACCAGTTACACCATGTGACCAGTTAACATTACTTTTTATCTTCCCTGCTAGTAGAGGTTATTGGAGTTGACCTGAATGACAAATTGCCTTTAAATACCAAAAAGAAGTTGTCATCATAAATGTTGAAATTGAAAGACTTTTTTTTTACAGAATACATATGGGGTATTATATAATAAAACAAATAGTGATTGCCGCATTTTTGGAAAAAAAGTGCAAACATTTTCTCCTTGGCCTTAAGCCTGACTTGAGTCCCTTTGGGAAATTAGTTTGCACTATCATCCTCAATAGCAGCGCTACTATTTGTAGAATAATCATAAGGACAATAATTTCAGTTAGTCTGAATTGACATTTTTCTGAAATATTTCGACCTTATGTGCTCAGCTACTTACCCAACTATAAATAAGAATTATTGTTTCAGTGAATGATCTGCTACAAGTTAAAGAATATTATGAGAACCGCATAGACAAGCTCTACTGTAGGGTACACAATCACCAGAATGGCTGGGTAACAGAGCAGTTCTATGAGGGTAGACAGAGAAACCTTAAAGGTATGAATGATTAAATGTCATGGAGGAAAATCTACATGTAGACACCTCAAAAGTTGAAAGGCTCTAATTCAGTATTTTATAAAATGAACTTGATCAGATAGTTTGGCATTATAAGTCTTAAAGATTGACATAAGAGACAACATAATTCTCATTTTCTTATTTTTCCAATCAAATTAATCATGTGTTTATGGCATGCATGAATATCTTATTTAACTTTTGACTATCTGGTTTCGAAACCTTAAACCATAAAAAATTATCTCTTAAAACTACCACATACACTGTACTTCATATTAAAAGAATTCCTGTTTTCATCTCCAGAACACAGATACAAAGCAAATGCTCCAGTACATGAGACAGATAGAGTTATGGTGTTTTACAGTCAAGCACGTGTTGATGGCCTGCTTGAGCGTCGTGAGAAAATGATAGATAAATCAACACAAGAGATGACAGAACAATTTGTTGATAGAACAGACTTTTTGTATTTCCGAAGTGTAACTTTTGGGAAGCGACCTAAAAAGTTTGGACCTGCTGATGGAAAGTCTAATCCTAAAAGGCCTATACATGTAAGAGCCGATCTATAAATTCTATAGAATTAATTTAGATGGAATTTGGTTTTATTAAAAATCCTACTCAATACCTACAAAATTCAAAAGGTTTCATGAAATAAATCCCAGATTTTCCAACTGACTGGCCCATTACAAAGAATATATACTTTTTTTCTTTATCTAAAGTATTCTTAATTATGTATCTCTTGTAGAAAATGGTAGAAAAGTTCAAACGCAATGAAGCCCTCCCAGCCAATGAAGACATGGCAGAAGTTGTGTACAACATACAGGAAGAGAAGATCACAGTGACATACCATACAGAGAACTCTAAAATATCAGCCTCAACTCGTGAGTTTATAAAGCCACCAAATTCTGATGAGAAAGGAGCAACTTTGATCATGAGTCCAGAGATGCACACCACTTTTCAGGTAATCCTTTAATGCGACAGTTTCACCCATTGTAGTGATCGCACCACCATTTAAACAAAAATTCATTGGCGCTGCACATAGGTGACATTCTTCTTGAATAGCCCTGCACTCAATGATAACATTTGCACTAACTTGAAAATGAAAATTAGGACATCACATTTTTCATCCGTATAGTTAAAATGTTCAAACTCAACTACAAATGAGATCATTGAGGTCTTACCAGCATCAAGACTATCTTCTTTAATAGTCAGAGACTTATGGTTAGTCAATGGGGGTCTTCTTTGTAAACTGTCATCTCCTTCCTTTAGAAGTATTGAGATCCCCTTTCCCACATACTGCTGCCTTGCTCTGATGTCAGGCGTGTAACTAAACCAGCTGAATCCAAATATTGACAAGCCAAAAACATAAGGCCAAAGACCATGTCATACTTCTTTTTGACACCAATCTCAAAAAATTTGACAAGACTTTACCTTGCGTGCCTCATGGCTAACTACACCTTGATACAGGTTAAAATGAAAGTGATCTGATTGCAGGTAGAACCACAAAGCAAGCAGAAGAAGCAGGTAGAAGTTTATGAACAGATGGTTGAACTAATTGCCAGTGAGGATGCATCTGATCAGAAAGCTCGTGAATCTGAGGATGAGGTATTGCAAAAAACTTATTAAAGTATCACAGCGAATAAAAAGTAACTTTCAAAAAACAAAACCGTATAACATTTAGATTTGTAATATTTTTTATCCATAGGCCTACCTGTTAACATTTGGAGAAAAATCTCTAAATGAATATCATTTTTGATGATATTCGGAAGAGATATTGTGGTAGAACATTTACCAATGATCTGGGTGAATTCTACCCACATCTCAACACAAACATAATATATTGAGAAAGAATCATACATTAAATGCCCAGAAACAGTGTAGATACTTCTTTCATTCATTTGGACCAAAATAGTATGTTTTAAAAATTGTCTTAAGCACAATGATGTGCAGTTATCAATTACCAAATTATTGAAAATCTAAATTCCTTGTGTAAACCATGCTTTTCTTTTTACTTAATTTCCTGGAATAGCTTCTCAAATTTATTCTTTCAATCATTGGCTGCACTTTTTTGCAGGTTGAAGAGATCCTAAATGATCGCACCAAAGAGGAAGCAACATCTGAATTAGACATCTCTGTATATGACACTTCAAGGAATGAAAAAGCAAAGAAACACAGGAAAGAACTTGTAAGTTTTTTTACTAGTGCCAGTTTAAAGGTTCATCAAAAAAGGAACAAACATTTAAAAAGCTACTTCAACTTCATGGTCAAAATAGCTTTGATCCTCGATTTGTGGTTGTGGTCACAATGAATATTTCTTCCTTTGCTTTCATTAAAAAAAACTATTATAATTGTACAAGTGTCATGAATAAGTTGAAATATGTTTGGCCTTTTATCTTTTTAAGTTATGATATTTATAATGCATGAAGCATGAAGCAACAACGAGTTGACTGAATTATATGATTAATTGTTTTCAGCAATATTTGTTAAACTAATGTATTCACTCATCATAAAAGTGTGTTTTATAATTACAATGTCAATTTGTAATTAAACTAAATATTGGAAATTTGATACAAAATGTATACTATATTATTGGAGGTTGGTTTCCCTTATGACTTTGTGCCCTTGCATGTTTCTTTACTTGTATTTTACTCTTAGATATTTCGCTTTTCAGTGCACTTATGTCATCATGTTTAAGATTAAAATGTGTGAGATAATAAGACAAATAATCATGGCATTAAGAAATGTCAACAGATTATTGATAATGGCTTTGTAATCTTATTTTCCTTTCCGGTTGACTTAACAATGTCTTATTATTGATTGATAAAACACATAGCACTTTGTTGGTCCCTCAGTTTTGTTTTGTCATTGCAATACAGGTTTCAAAGAACCTTGGTTCCAATGGTGTTGGGATAATAGAGGATTTACTAACCCTTTCATATTTATTTCATCGCATTGTAGTCTTGCTTCAAGACCCTGGACTATCTCATCTAACAGCTTTTGTTCACAAGGGCACGTAGCTAGACTAGTCACATTGCCTTTTCATACGATTTAGAGTCCCCCCCTATCCTTTTTCTACATTTTTTCTTATTCCTATTTAGGAACGTTTAGCTGAGGAAGAGAAAATGCGAAGGCAAGAAATGGAACTTGATTATCTGGCTCCCTTTTTGGCTCAGATTGGGGACCCAGAACAGATTAGTCGTCAACAAGCTTATAAACTGAAAGAGGATTGCCTTGCTGATCTTAAACAAAGACTTATTGACAAGGCAAACCTTATACAGGCTAGGTTTGAGAAGGTATGAATATAGCATTCTTATAGTAGCAACTTGAACTATATATTTAGTACAGTCAAGATTTATTTTCAGTCAACATAACTCTAAATATCACTTTGTGCTCTCTGTGCTCTCTGTTTTGAGTGAGGACCCATGTACATTATTTTGATCCTTCCAATACAGATTGGATGCAATTTCTAATTTTTCAAGTCCAATTATTAATCTTTCTATCATGACCCATAATACAGTGTTAAGACCCATAATACATTGTTTCAACCCATAATGCATTTTCTCAACCCATAATGCACTGTTCTATCCACAGGAGACCCAGGAGCTCCAGAAGAAGCAGCAATGGTACCAGCAGAACCAGGTCTCCATGCAGAAAGATGATGAGGCAGAATATCTAGCATATTGTGGAGAAGCCATGTTCAGAATACACATCTTAGAGCTAAGACTCAATAGGTAATAAACCATGTTATTTGTATATATTTTGTACATTTTACAGTGTACTTGCCTTGACTATAAAGTACATGAAGTGGAAAAAAATTTAAGTCACAAATTAATTTTGGAACACAGGCAGCTCATTAGCAACATACACTCTGTTGAATGTAAATAATTCTTGGGATTGAAATAAAGCAAAAATGCTTACTTATTTCTAGTATTCTGAATTAAAAGAAATAGACCTTTTTTCAATTGGGCCATTATTTATAATCTGAACCCATTTGGAATTTGTATTTTATGATTAGTAAACTTTTTCTGGCTAAATGGCCATTATACGTATTACTTTTATATTGAATAAATCAAGTAATAGTTTATTATTATGTCACCTCCGAAAAGTGAATGTTGCCAGTCAGTGTCAGTTTCTGTAACAATGGTTACACATTTGTAACCATTTGCAGATGGTGATATTTTTCTGGTTAATTAATGTGTCGTTTTTTTATGATATTATTTCTATTTTATTTTCAGGCATAAAGAAATGGCTCCACACAAGTATATGGCACTGGAATCTAAAATTAGAACCGATCCAAGACTTTCTGAATATTTCTAATAAAAAAAATAATAAAGGTTATATTAAAAAATATGTATATTTTACTAAACTATATCAGTCACCGAGGCTAGTTATAGCAGGAGACATAATGTAGAACTTATTTAATGAGATCAGACACTGTATATTTGTTGAATATACACTAAGACTGGTTATTGAGAGATAGCATGTGGTGAAATTGGTGGATTTTTCATTGTCGCAGAACCATGTATGACAGCAAGCAAATAAATATTTCCACCCAGACTATTTTATATTTATATGGTAAACTTATTATTGACAGCTCAAAGACCTTTACACTGGATTGAATATTTGATTCATTCTGGCGTGACAATATAGGACGCCAGGCAGAATAAATAGGTCTAACAAGGTCATCAAGCCCTTTAGATTCTGTAGTGACATGAATGATGTACTTCCTGCCATGTATTTATCATTGAAGAAATAGAATTCATTAATCACTTAAAATCGCCTTATCCTTACAGCTGAATTGTTGCGTGCGTCCCAATTCATATTCATGGAGTGCTAGATTTCTACTGTTTCGATTGCATTAAAAGTTATCTGGTACTTATCTCATTTAAATTCATGAGGATTTCTTTATTTTGCTTTTTTCCGTATTTCAAGAGCCAATGAGATGTGAAGGTTTAATCTTTCTTATGTTTGCATTGGAAATAGTGATCAACTGTACTATAAATGATAAATGACTACGTTCACATATTTATGCAAATAAATGGAAATAGGATGTTGGTATGAATCAGAACAAGATGATAAACTTACTGTGGCCACATGAAACAAGATTGAGTTGTACTTAATTAATCATTCAATTTAAGCTGGGGAATAATCAAATGTCTATAGGTACAAGTATTTCATTTCATTTCTAACTCCATAATATTACTAAATAAAGTCAATCAGCATTTATAAAAAATAAATCATTCTGAAATTGTATGTGTTTTATCCTACACACGTGTGACGTAAAACCAATGTCTTTGCATACCAACACATTCAAACATATGTTACAACAAGACAAATAATTGTGCTAGTAACCCAGCGCTTACACAATTAGAATTCACAGATTCTTAGAAAATTGTTATGCAACATGCTCTAGATCAGTACATCCATTTGTAACAGTACAAGGTGAATTACATAACCATATTACACTATACTACGTGTAAATGTTACAACACATGATACATTTCCAAGTGACCTTATCATTATTATATAATATTCATAATCAGGCCAACAAGCATGTAATTAAATATTTCTTCAGGGATCGTGTCAAGTTTTCAACAGATGCATTATCAAGTTTATTCCATTTCGACATTATACCCATTCTCCTCATTGAGAAAAATTGAAACTTATTTTGATTTTCTAGCTATAATTTAGCTAAATGTGAAACAGAAAATCAATATTTTTGATTGAAACATGATTTTTGATTGAAGACTTTTTATCCCCAGCCATACTAAAGATTGTGCTTTTGGTTAAGGTCAACATGGATGTCTTAATTAAACCAATAACTTGATCACATGATGAATTTTGATATCAAGACATTGTGTTACTTTATATAATGTATTACAGTATAAGTCCTAAGTTCATCAGTAATTAGGTCTCATGTGATATTTAAGATTCGATATCAAGACATTGTGTTATATTATATAATGTATTACGGTATAAGTCATAAGTTCATCAGTAATTAGGTCTCATGTGACATTTAAGATTCATGTTCTTGTGTTAATTATCACTATATCTGAGATATTTATGAAGCATGTTTTGACATGTAACCAGTGAGACTTGGGGTGACTGCCGGGACAATGTAATACTGGTAAAAGAGAAATTTCGCAACTCACTAATGCATGTTATAGCATGTTTATTTTTCCTGTGTAACTTACATGTATGAAGCGTTTTATTACGTCATCATTTATTGTGCAGCTCTATACGTCCATAAGTGTGATATTCTAGCTTATAGATTGTTGTCTATATGCGAGAGTATCACACTTATGAACGTATAGAGCTACGCAATAAATGATGACATAGTCAAATGCTTCATAATTTGTTCTTTAAACAGGAAAAATAAACATGCTTTAAGTGAGTTGCAAAATCTCTCTAACAAAAGATGGCACTTTGGCAGTGTGTTATGGAGGAGAGGATTACATTGTTGTCCAATTTTCTGCCGATGGGCATGCTTCCCTTCAATTGCAATTTGTGTTCAATTCTGACAGTCAGAATGTTCTGTTGATTTTCTAGATATATCAGCAATACTGTTAGTGGCCATAAGTTGGTCTCAAGATATATCTGAGGAATGCAAGATGTTTAAATCAATTATAATGGGATACCACTAATTGTCTGGAAAAGAAACGTCAGAGACACTGCATCTTCAATTTAATCATTAACCATGATCAATTTCCTGTTTTAATTATGTTTTATAGGCCTAATTGTTTAACATGGACCAATAAACTGATAAAAGAAAGGTTGCTCCATCCATACCTGCACTCAGTATACATGTAGCAGTTCCCCATTGTACATGTCATTAATATGCATGCTACGTTAAGATAATGGGATGAAACCCTGGGATAAAAAGCTCATCAATGGTCTCAATGCATATGGGCTTTATCTCTCAGGTGACATACCCTCATGCTAAAAGCCATATGTCACTCCTTTCTGTAAATATCTCTAAATAGACTATACTGTCAGAGATTTACATATCAATTATCTATAAAATAGTTCCGTTACTAATGTTAATATGGCATCATTTAATTAGGTGAATTTTCCAAAACAGTAAAATCTGTCTCATCCGAATGCCTCTGGTACTGGACAAAAGTGTTCAAAGTTGCAGGTGTTCACATTTCATGGTTTTATAAACTTGTGAGTCAATGAAAGATAACAAATTTGGGATGGGGAAAAAGTGTTCATATAGAGAGGTGTTTGGATTAGAGAGGTGTTCAGATATACAGGTTTCACTGTATGTGAAATTGGAATTGCTATTTTGTTTGCAGACTCAGGCTAAATCCAATTTCATGATTGATTTCTGTACATTGCATGATCTTCTCTCATTTCCAACCTCTGGCACGATTTCTCTCAATCTTTTAGTGTAAATCGTATGAAAAGAACAAATTTCAGGGGGTTTATCTTAAATTTTGGGAAATATTTGGGAAATTGGGAAAGTTTTAAAATCACCAATATAAAGGAGGCACCAAATAACCCCAGTTAGTTAGTTACCATGGTTACTGTAATCACTCACGCTGTTACAATCCAGGATTTGAAAGGACCATGGGCTCTAATTGAAAGCCCATGAAAGGACCAAGAATGGTATATGGCATCATACTCCAAGTTCGGGCTTCATTCTATCGAAGCTATGATGTTGAAAGAATTTAAATACCCTTGGACCAAAGATGGTATGGCATATACTTTTCAACAGACATATCTTCTACCACAATTGTATTTTAAATGTTGTATTTGTGGTAAGGTCCCAAGGATGATTAAATTATCTATGAAACTCTCTGAAAAACCATGGATTAAAACAAGGGCCACCCCAACATTTTTCAAAATGTTAAAGTTATTTCTCAAATAAGTAGATAAATAGATTACACAACACAATGTCTGTCAATTCTTCCAAGTTACATATGCATTGAGAATCTAATTTGAAGGATATCAAATTTTGGTGACCAAACTTAGGCTTAAAATAATGGATAGCATGCATGAGTTTTCCCTATGAGAAAAAACATATGTTATGTTATCACCTTTTCACCTGATTCTAATGCCATTACCCCTTTCAGAAGTGAGTGGCACAATATGTTATAATTTTTTTGGTGTGGTAAAAATGAGGAAAGGAGGAAAATAAGTCTTGATACAGGCCCGTAGCCAGGATTTGCCAAGGGGGGGGGGTCAGTTTTCAAAAAATCACTTGAGAAGTGCTCAAAAGAATAAGTGAAAAACTGCATAAAAATAAGTCTTGATATTTGGAAAAATGTGTCGAGATGGGGTCTTAAAAAATGATTTTCCAGAGTTGGATTGATATTTTTTGATATCCTGATAACTCAACTTCAAAGGAAACATATCATTTTAATGAAATATGTCATATTTATTTTCTGAATATAATCTTGGTCAAAGATATGACTGTCTTCAATTATTTGCCATTCCATACCTGCATGGTATTGTTCTCTTGTCTCGTATCCTAGACTTTTAATTAGTGCTGATACACTCATTCAAAGTCTGGAAACAAGACATATATTGTTTAAATCATTCTACAATTCATGGAGTTCTAGGCTTAAATCTTCTAATATATCAATTAACTGAAGTGCAATTAAAACATGTGATTGTCACAGATATGTACATCTAGGTCAGATAGCTTGAGATTTAATAGCCTTGCCCAGGTCGTTCTCTTTTACTATCTTGATTCAAGATCAGATAAGTAAAAAAATACCGACTTGGGCAAGGCTAGAGATTTAAGAAAGGACAAATAATAAATATCATTTTACTTTTTTTTTAGAAAATTTATTTAATAATTTAGCTTTATACATTGTAAGCTTACACTGTACATTATTTACAAATGAAATTCTTGAACACACTGAAAATTGAATATTTGTATATTATAACAAATAACATCACAAATTCAGTATATTTTTCAGGCTTTTTCCTCAAGTAGAGTCAAACTTTACAAGGTGATATATGAGTTAGTGATCTCTCATGTTTGACTTGTCTGATTACAATATACAATTATACATATACATGTATGAGACTGGCAATCACACTCACTTCTATGCATGTCTCTGCTCCTGTTCTCTCAATTTTTCACTGATGGGGGAAGTTTTATTTAATTTATAAATTGATTCAAGTCAAGACCCAGTACTCATACAGTATATTACTAATATCACAGAGAGAGTACTAACATCAAATAATACCCATAGAGAATATTACTCCTATATGATACAGTACAGTACTAAGATAAAATGATATTTATATAACATAGTTTTAATACCACATAGTATTGATATCCCATAGTACTGAACTTATATCATATGAGGTCCTAGTATTATGACCTGGGCATTTTTAAATAAAACATTAATTTGGCACAAATTTACAATAAAACATAAATTTCATGCAATGAGAATTACATGTATACAGAATTCAGAAACCTGCCAGAGGTTAAAGAGCCATAATCTGATCCAAACACATTTGTGTTAACTAGATATGAAGTGAATTTTTTCTTGATCAGAATGAGCTTGTACAATAATTAATTAAAGTAATTTTAGTTGATTGAGGTAAACACCAATAGCATTTCTTAACATGAAACAACAATAAAGGCACCATGTAAAGCTTCTGAACTTTGACATTTTTGAAAAAAAAAATAACAAAAAATTATTGGCCCGTGATTGTTAAATTCTAACTTATTACATATTTTGTGAAATTTCAAAAAATGTCAGTTATTCATCCATTTATTTCAGGTAACCCCATGTAGCTTGACCGTATATTTACTTAACATTTCAAACTAAGGCACATTCCGTAAATCACATTCTTACATCATTATGATGTCACAATGAAGTTGCCATACAAACTTATTAATATTCCGTACTTCCTCCATGAAACTACCCTTCTCAAAGAGCAGCAATTAAGCATCATATTTTGAATATCTGAATAATATATTAATGAAGAATACAGGGTGGGCTAAATTTACTGCAACTCAATGAAATACCTAATTTATATTCTCAAATAGCTTTTATGTCAATGAGTAAAATTGATGGAATAAAATGTGCAGTTTTTGGGCCTATCATGTTATTGTTTCAAAAATTAGAAACTGAAATCATAAATTAAATGAGCATGTCATGGTTAAAGATACTACTTAGATAAATACATACACAGTAAACACACACGCATATAAATATCATTGGATTTTAGTATTTTACAACTCTTCAGTATTATCTTATAGCCGCAATATATACAAAATGTAATCTACCCTTTTAAAGTAGAGGACAAATATTTCTGAGGGATAACCAAGAACACAAAATTAAAAAAAAATCATTTGAAAACAACAAAACTGATATAATGAAGGCACTTTGTAGTAGGAGTGAAAATCTACATTTTGAGGTACATGTACGTTAATGAATGACTATTATAACACTGTGTTCTCTGTATCACATCATATTCATTTGGCATTCATTCTGTATAACATTATTTAACGTAAGTAATGAGTAACTTAAATAGCACAAGAAACAGTTAATGTTAAAACAATCAAAATGGAAAAGAAGGTCCAATAAATAATGAGCCATACCAGGTCACAGCCAGAATTCCTCAGGGGAATGCTCTAACTTTACAAGGGGTTCTAATTTTTAAGGGGGTCTAATTTTTCAGGGAAGGATTTAAATTGTCAAATTTGCCTATACAGTAATACCTGTCTAATCCGAACGCCTCTGGGACCAGCAAAAAAATGTTTTGATTAGCAGGTGTTCACATTTCATGGTTTTTTCAAAATGTAGGTCAATGAAAGGTAACAAATTTGAGACCGAGAAAAGGTGTTCACATAAAAAAGTGTTCACATTGGGAGGTGTTCAGATTGAGAAATGTTCGGATTAGAGAGGTGTTTGTAAATACAGGTTTCACTGTATCTACTATGCATTGGCCCAAAATCTTTAAAAAAATCCCCCAAAAATTGAATCATAATTTTCCTGGGTATAGTAAGGGTGATAGGCCTCCTCCCCTAGCTACAGTGATGCACACATATACAAGATTTCAGTAAGTTTGAGGTCTGTTATGATTAAAATGCATTCTGTCATATATTCCATTTATTTGGAATGTTTGCATTACATACAGTATGTGATCATTTCATTCCAAGGTGTTTTGGATTCTAAAACCTTGCAAGTAATCTAGATGTGTTTTCCAATAATGTGGATGCATTTTCCAATAATTTGAATGTGTTTTCCAATACTAGTAATCAGACCCGTAGCCATGGGGGTTTGAGAGGTTTGGGAGAACCCACCTGGCCAAAAACTCTTTCAAAATCATACATCTTTTCACGATTCTGAGCATTTCATGTGATTTTAGATCAAGACAAAGTGAACCACCCCCTGGTATTTTCTAAAAAGTGAACCCCCTTGGCAAAAGCTGGCTATGGGCCTGATAATTGGTACAAACATGTTGATTTCAGTCACTCATAGAGACCTGGTCCGTTTGACAGAGAAATCAACAATAATTGAACAGTATATTATAAGATCCTGCCGAGATATTCTAAATCTAAATAGACCAGGTCCAAGTTTAAATAGTATGTCATCAAAATGAGATTCTTGAGTTAAATACTGCAAATGGAAATCTACAGATCTTTATTTCTAGTTCTAATTTAATAGTTATCGGATTATCGATCCAGTGTTTCCCAAGTGTTTTATTTATCTTTCACTCTGTCTAACACATCTACTCTTATTGTTTGGTTAACACCACGAGTTCATCTGTCTGGGAGAGATATCACCCATATCAGGAACAACCCCAGAATCAGCTCGTTCCTCTTTCCTATTATCAGGAACTTTACTGAACACATTGTTTTTTCGATTCGGATCCTGTGGCCAAATAATGTTTCCTCTATGACGTGCATCAGAATGAGGCTCTGAAGGCTGAGTGGATTTGTCAACCGAGTTACAGCTTGAATGAGAGCTGAGGTTCAAGGAAGAGTTTGATCTATCTGCTTTATTTAGATCTTTGCTAGAGAGACTAAGAACTGCACTGTCCAAAGAGCGAATACTTAACTCCTGGCTGACTGGTCGTTTAGGGCTAGGTCGACTGCGAGCTATACTAGGAAGGGATGGGGGTGATTGGGGCATGCTCGTGCGACTACTGTTACTAGATGACAAATCACTCATCGAACTGGTGAAAACATTGTCACTACCCTCAGAACCTGTTCCAGGGTTAACATTTTGAGATTCAATATTCAATGCAGATTTAGGTGTGGTAACCTCTTGTTGTTGAGGCTGACTGCAGCCTAAAAGGGTTTCTACTTCATGCTCATTGACAATTTTTTCAGGAGAAACACGGATTAATGATGAACGTTTTGGACTTGACTCTTCAGTGTCAGTATTTTTGGTGACTCGTGGCTCACCAGGTAAAAGTTTGTCAAGAGACTCCTGGCTGTCGGAAAGGTTTCCTTTACGGTCTTCTTCAGGTGACTGATGGGGAGAGTGGACCTGCAATACATGGTCCCACTCTCTTGGACGCATCACTGTTGCGTCTTTCTCCACAGATGGTGGTCGAATAAAGATAGGGAGTGTTGTGTCTATCACATCGGGATCTTGTGCACAGTAGCCAATTTTTTCAATTATTTGAGCAAATGTCGGTCTGTGTTCAGCAGAGGATGACCAGCACTGGTTCATGATCTGGAACCTGCAAATAGAGATGACTTAACAAATGAGCATCCAGTTTTACCGGAAAAATGAGTGAAATACTGCCTTACTTACTAGGAATAGAACAAATATTTAGAAAAAGGCCAAATGAATTTTTCCAAAATGTCAACCATTCTCCAATTTCAAATTTACAAGCCCCAAACAAATAATTTCTCTAGCAGTCTCGCAAAGCATGCGAATTACTTCAAAAAATAAAAAGTCGATACCCACTATTTAAAAAAAAAAACTTTAGTAATAAACTATCAACATAAGTGTAAAAATAAAAACTGATCGTTCTGATTTTCATATATTTCATATATTAATCCCCCGGATAATTTCCCTACTCGCTTCTAACCAAACTGTGGACCAAAATGTTTTCTTGGTTTAAGTCAGTGACACCCATTTTTATGCCTGATTATGAAGTGGAATGCTGTTAGGAAGATTTTAATACAAAAAATTCACACTCTATCGTAAAGTAAATTTAAGGTCCAGGTAGATACAACTACCTTAATATTTAAGAGTTAGTTCAGCTTAGTCTATAATGTCATGAAAGCAATTGAGCAAACCCTTATATATGTGGAAAAGGTTTAATGATAAAATAAATTGTCTTTGTATAAGAAAAACATGTTACAAACATTTACATCTGTGCTTTAATATTAATTTGTTCAGCTTAGCCTATAATGTCATGAAAGCGATTTGGCAAAGCGTTATACTTAGAAAAATTTAATGATGAATAAATTGTCTTTGTATAAGAAAAACATGTTACATATATTTATATCTGTACTTCAAACCCTTATACTCCTAACATTAAAAATGCTAAATTTGAACAACATAACAGGAGTGTACCCTGTAGAAATCTATAACTACATCTATTTCACTATATCACAGGGTGAGTCAAAAAAGAAAACCCAAACAAATGTATGTTAATAACTCAGTCATTCACCATGAGTTTAAAATCATATTTGACACAATTACAACATTATTCTATAGCATGTTTTGTAAAATGGCCATAAAATTGTGACCATTAGAAAAAGACCAAATAATTTTGGAGAAATGAAAAAGCATTGAACAAAGTTTAATTGTGCCAAATATGACACTAAACCCATGCTAAATGACACTAAATCAATGCTGAGTTATTAACATTTGTATGGGTTACTTGGCTCACCCTGTATTATATAAGAAGTGACGGAGTGATATTGTAAATTTCTGATGAGTTGGCAATGCAGGACCATTATGCCATTTCAAGGATAGCGTGATAATAAATAATCAAATCACTGCCAGCTCATTACAGCTATAGACCTGATTACAGGCCATGTTGGAGTTCCATTAATCAAATTACATAGTGTTCTGTGAAAATTATCACATAAATAATTCTGTGCCTTTATTTAATCAGGCAGGTGTCTAAATAATTAGTTTGCACAATTTTATGCTGCAAATTTATTATTATGTAAAAAAAATTAATATAGCCTGGATAAATACGGCATGAGTCAATCATCCACTATACGTGGGCTTTTGATGTCACAAAAATCATAAATTATTTATTTGAGTTGAGTAACCTCTAAATAGTGTTCACCTTGGAGGTGTTATACGAGTTATCCTTATTTCCGTGAAGGAGGTACAGGTACCCGGGACATGTACTTGTAGAGGTTCTATTTTTCTATATTATTATTGACATTGGAATCGACAAGATTATTCAAGACCCTCATTGCATCCATAATGCGATTTCACAATCATTTACAGCACTATTGCTGAAGATATGACCATAATATATGAGATAATACTGACAGCAGTTGGTTTCATCCTGCTGTGGAACAATACTGTTGAAGCAAAGCCATTGTATATGAGAAATATACCCTGAGAAATTAGCCTCACATTGAATTCCTTAAATAAAGATAGTTAAAGTATGTAAACCTATGTACGTGGACCTTGGAAATTTAAACCAGAAACATACATATTGTAATATTTTACATATTGTAATATTTTACATATTGTAATATTCTACATATTGTAATATTCTACTTACACTGGAGCTGGACAGTTATCGGGGGCCTCCAGTCTTCCCCCTGTAGTCACAAACTCCATGACTTCTTGGTTCCCGCGCCCGGGGTAGGGCATATATCCTAATGAGAAAACCTCCCACAGTAGGATTCCAAATGACCACACATCAGTTTTTGAGGTAAATACACCATCTAAGAAGGCCTCTGGGGGCATCCATTTTACAGGGAGCATAGCCTTACCACCTTTTCTGTAGTAATCAGCCCTAAAACACAATGTAAAACATTACATTTTGCCTCAATATATTTCATTTGGTGAATCAGATCATAATCATTATAAATCAATATCATTATCATAATCATTATGAATCAAAATCATTATCATAATCATTATGAATCATAGTCATTATCATAATCATTATACAAGATAAAGTGTATTATATATTTTGTCTTCATATCTTCAAAATTGATAGATAATTGAATGATGTATCACTGGTAAGAAAATCGAAGGGATTGGTCTATGAAAAGCATCTGTGTAAAAAAGCGTCAATTACTTATTGATCACCCCTCATAAATAATTATCATAATCGTAATTTGGTATTAAAAAATGCATTAACATGAGAAAATTCCAATGACAATGCTATCTAGTAGTGATATAATAAACAGATGTAAATCAATAAAAAATAAAAATCATAATAATAAACAACAATTGAATGAATGTTAGGAAGTTCTTGAGACACTTGTCTTGTCCGTTACATAATACATATGCCATAAAAGGATTTATCGATAACATCTAAGTTTGATTAACAGATTAAATAAGATGAGACATAATATCTTTCGAGTACCCTAGGCTTTACTCACTTCAAAATGTTCTTACACTCGTGTCAATTTCATTTTAATACTTGGATAAATATACTTTTGTCAATCAATAAATCTCAGGCATAATATATTTTGATAAAGTTATCTGAGTGTGCGACCATATCATCTCATCCAATACAACACACACAAAAATTCAATAAACGAGGTACCTGTATATATCTCGAGCCATTCCAAAATCAGCGATTTTAGCTATTCTGTTTGGGCCCTTTGTTGTGAGTAGACAATTTCTCGCTGCGATGTCTCTGTGGATAAAGTGGTTTTCCTCGAGATATTTGCAGCCTTTAGCAATGTCAACTGAGAGTCTTAAGAGATCTGGCATACTCAATGGCGAGGGAAGTTCCTGAAAATGAATTCGAAGAATACATTATGTAAAAGTTATGTAGACATCACTATAACACCACAGTATCTTTTCAATTCAATTGGCACTGATTTTTGTTGTTTTCCAAATCGTTGTTACATCTTGTATCAAACAAATAGATCATTTTAACAACTTAATTCCTCACATATGCAATACGAAATATTAAATGATTAATTAAATCATAAAACATTTATCTTAATAAGTTAAGATTTTAACACCTGGTAATGATAATTATTTCATAATACTTCAAACATATAATATAATAAATAAAACATATAATAGATAATCCCATTACAATATGACATAAACACTATCTAAATTATGATTGATTTGAAAAATATGACAAATCAACAGGGAAAAAATATGATTAATTTAGCAATTATTCAAATATTCTGGTGATTAGAAAGCATTATTTACAACCTTGGAAACAAATACAGGTTTTAGGATGTTTACTTGCATATACAGGTTTTGGTATGCTTGCTAGCTTAGCTAGCTTACAGGTTTTGGGATGTACACTAATTTAAAGGTTTTGGAATGTACATTAACTTAAATGTTTTGGAATGTACATTAACTTTCAGGTTTTGGGATGTTCATTAGCTTTTAAGTTTGGAATGTACATTAACTTAAAGCTTTTGGAACATACAGTAAACTTAACATGTTTTGGAATGTATATTTACTTACATATTTTGGAATGTACATTAACTTACAGGTTTTGGAATGTACATTAACTTTCAGGTTTTGGGATGTTCATTAACTTTTAGGTTCGGAATGTACATTAACTTACAGGTTTTGGAATGTACATTAACTTAAAGGTTTTGGAATGTACATTAACTTACAGGTTTTGGAATGTACATTCACTTTTAGGTTTGGAATGTACATTAACTTACAAGTTTTGGAATGTACATTAACTTACAGGTTTTGGAATGTACATTAACTTTCAGGTTTTGGGATGTTCATTAGCTTTTAGGTTCGGAATGTACATTAACTTACAGGTTTTGGCCTTGAAGCTCTGAGGAATGTTTTCACATCTCCGCCCTCTAGAAGTTCCAGAATAATGAAGCGTGGATGTTTCTCGAAACAAACTCCAATCAAGCGAACAATATTTGGATGGTTAAACTTGCTCATGATTAAGGCCTCCATCAGGAAATCCATTTCTGCCTGATCGGTACATAAAGCAGGAAGCGTCTGTAAAAAGAAAAAACTTGTGAAAACATTTCATCTGGAATGACTTTTAATTGTTTTTTAATACTGCATTATAGTATGATCACCTTTCATTGATTTATTCAATAATGTTTCATGACCAAATGATAATGGTGATAACATTTGTTTAATGAGCTTCAAATCTTGTTCTTCCATAAAATTGTACGAACAAATGTACTTTTGAAATGATTAAAACAAGGATGTAGACTAATGTGGCTGTCATTTACCTTGATACCAAGATATTTTCCCACTTATTACCACTTAATTGCAGTTTTCCAAGAATAATATGGGAGGTCTTGTTAAAATAGATCCAGTATAAGGACAACTCTGCAACCATGGGATATTAACATTGCTTTGCTAAACGAAATGTTGTTATTGTAAAATATCGTGCGCTCCAGATATTGCAATAAATTTAGTGACAAAAGTCGTGTTAACTGTCAATTGAATGTATAGTCATTTCCTGTGAGAATGGAATCCCGGAAATAAATTGGGAATCTGCAAATAGTTAGGAACACACTGAATGAACTGCAATGGAGATAAGAGAACATACTCTCATTTAGAGTATTAATATTATCATTGCCTCTCTCAACAGGCTATTGAAAATCATCTGAAATTGGTTCATAAAAATCACAGGGGCAATCAATGTAATTTAGAATTTTACCAATTATTGTTTATTCAAGTTGCTCTCTTATGTTTACAGGAAGTAAGTAACTTTCATAGTGAATGGGCCAGATGATGTGAAATGAAATAAATCATTTTAATCAAAGTTATCCAGTTATCCAGAAATACACTTTGAAGAAGTTGTGAGGGTGGATGGGTCAGTCTATTTCAAAGTAAAACAAAACCGGCATAATCAAAATGTCACCACCTGTCACTTTTTACAGATGCTGACTGCCAAACACCAACCATCAAACAATCTTTAAAAAAATTTGGTTTTGACCATAAAAATGAAGAACAAGCAGAGCTTAAAGTGCAAAACATTTGAAATATTTAGTGACCCTTCAGTCAAACAATCTGCTACCATTGGTAATTAAATAATGTGCCAACCTGTGATTCCTAATTTTCAATTAATGACATTAGCTTATACATGTACGTATAATTCATGATGTCAAAAATGATCACTTTTATGTAATACTAGTACCTTTAACATAGTTATGCTTTTCACCATAACAAGGATATGTGAACTCAGTAAAGGTCAGAGGGTACATTGCATTGGATGGCATCTAAAGATCTCAGTCAGTTGTGGCACAGTACTTTTTACATTAAAAGAACAACTTAATAGTTCAGAGTAAGAATTATCCACATAAAGGAATAGCCTGATACAAATTTATCTGACAAATGGGAAGGTTAAGCATTCATTCAATGTGTTCATATTTGGGGGTGTATATGCCTTAGACCCTCCACCCCACTTTAACCATTTAAACAAGGCATTAACATGTCATGTCACCATCTGCCATTTGTTACAGACGCTGACTGCCAAATGCCAAACACCAGCCTCCTAATGTAGAACAACATTCAAAAAAAGTTATAATAACAATATGTCACCACTTGTGGTGGGTGGTGGTGACATAAAAAGTGACAACTTTACCTTCACTGCGACTGGCAGATCTACTGGTTCTCTTGGCACACTAGAAAGGTAGCCCTGATAAACTTCACCAAATGCCCCCTGACCAAGTGCCCTACAACCAAATACACTGATTATAAAATGACATTTGACTTGCCACACATCCTTTCTTGTGCTTATTAAATGTTTTATAGAAACTCCAAAACGACTGCATTTTTTGAGAAATATTATAAATTAGTTTTCCATACTATATGAGCAATGATAGCATCAGTTTTGAATTTAAATATGTCCTTTTCAGCATTTGATACGGAATCTAAGACAAGTAGTTCTTGCAGAAATGTTAAGTTGATATTGGCAAATATCATTTTATAAACTGATAATATCACAAAAGGAAAATATCTGAATTACAATGAAACAAAAGAACAATACATTCAAGGATTAAAGGTGAAAGCCATGTGTTTATGATAAATGTTTTTAAGAAAATGCCCCAAATCCTTCAATTCTTTGTAAGGGAAAAATGATTAATTTTCAAATAAAAAACAATTTCCATGATTTCCTAAATGTCAAAGTTATTTTAGCATAAAAACAAGAAACGTAAAAATGAAACAGTTTATTGATATTATAGGACATATTTTTAGCATATCATTGATTTGTGAACACACAGTGTCAATCTGACCTTGAGTTGTACTTTTATGTAAATAAAGTATAAATTGTCTGATAATAAAATATATTTGAGAATAACCTCGAGTCTCATGAAATTCAATGGGATAATATTAACAGCCATCAAAACACTTTATCTTCAAATTAAGCTCAATATAATAATCCATTGCTTCAATGTAAAATAATGGGTGTAATATAAAATTTTAATATCTGACAGACATGAAGGTAATTCCTGATTACTCAATAACAGCTATCTTTACTTACTGGTCTACACATTAATGTAAAACCTGAACCTGTATAAATCTGCCTACAGGTTTATAAATGAGAAAAAATAGCATTTTATCAAATCACTTTGAATATTGTATTATCTCATTTTGGCAAAATCTTCAGCCATGACTTGAAAGGGCACCATATATTAGACATGTACTAGGTAGTAGTACATGTTTATAAGGCATTACCCAATAAAATTCGGACCAAATCAGACTTGTACTTGATAGAGTTATCAGAAATCATATCTTTTATGAAAAATGGGAGCCATTTTGAATATGATGCATGTACATGTAGTTACATTTGAAATTTTTTGCTGAGCAACTACATTTGAAATTTTTTGCTGAGCAGAGGTCCTTTGCCCATACAGCATCAGCATACAACTTCAACTTCTCTATATATTTAAATGCTCAAATATGCTTACTTGACTAAAGTCAATTTATCCCTAGCTATTTCTCGGAGATCTTGAACACCACAATTTGTGCCACAGAAATCATAGTTTGGATTGTATTCTGTGATGCCGCCTGTCTCATTACGGAGACGTGTGAGTTGTGTGTCGGGGTTGGTGCCACTTAACATTTCAATCCTCACAGCCTTTAAACGTTTCTGGTTACGCTTGTGAACTGAAACAATTAATGGATATTAAGATGAACATTATACTTACTATCATTATCAGTTTTAACTCTTTTATTGCGTCTTGATTTATTTAAGATGTCAGTTGCTTCTGCTTCACTTTGATACTACAAGAATGAATCCACATTAACTGATTAAACAAGAGAAAAAAGTTTCACCAAGTGAATCTATCATGTCAAACCTTGCTGTGATTTTGCAAGATAAACATCAGTTTAAGGGATATTGCAATAGAAACCCCTTTAGGACCATAGAATGGAAATTTATAAGTGTGACTGGTGTGAAACAAATATTTGGACACTTCTGATTGGTTCTGTGAAAATCTAAATGCATGACATACCTTACACTAACAAGACAGAAATATAAGCATTTGCAATCATTGTGATAACCACTTTGGAAATCAAAGATGCTTTTACTGGGTAATTTGAAGAAATTACCCCACACACACAGCATGGGGAGTAAGTGACCTCCCCCCCACTTTATTATGCCCTATATTAAATATTTCTTGGATATGGTAGAGAGGGGGGCAGTAACTCCCTGTGTCACAGAGTGAAAAAAATTGAATCCACATTGATTGAGTAGGGGCAGAAACCGCTTAATGATGTAAATTAACATTATGGACCCCATAAAATGGATATGAGCTTTGGTTCAGACAAATTGCAGTTTCCATCTGTCTGAAAATTGTTGATGGATGAAAGGTCGGATGTAAATCTCATAATAAATAGAAATAGACGGGCAGACAGACAAGTGGGCAATTCCATTAGGTCACAATATGTGCCAAAAATCAGATTTGTCAAAGATGGGAATTCATTTAACAAAGAAGTGTGGTAGAAACTGATCAAGTTGCAAGGTACGCAGTAAAAGCTGCCATTTAGAGCAAATGCATTAAATAAAGCTTATATCAGATAACATAATATTAAATGTTTAGTTCTATTCTAAGCTAGAATGAAATGTAACTTAAGTGAATAGAACTTGTGGCTGTCATGCTTCCTCATTTTCACATTATTGGTAAGACGTTTTAATTGTATTGAAAGCAATTTACTTCGATTGGTAACAATTTACATTGTCTCCTTAAGAAGAAACAATATAAACATATATATCACTGTCTCCCAAAGGATAACCTATCAGCCAGATAATCCCAATTCAATTCTCCTTATACATTATATATATCCAACATCTTTGAATATGGGTTTTTAAGTGAGCTACTTAAAAGTAATGCGTCACGAGAGAGTATCAAAAATAGGAACTAATTTTTTGTAGGTCTATAATTAGTCAGGTGGATTATCATGGGGTTTTCCTAGAAAACAATTGCATTATATTATCCTGATTGGTAAAATATGGATTTTCCATGGGGAGATACCACAAACCGTATATATTGCCCCTTATATGGCCCGGGTGCCATAGACAATAGAATATACAATCAATATAATATACTGTTGTAAACACATATCATGACAAGACATCAGAAAAGCAATTCTTTGGAACAGTTTTAAAGAAAACTTACATATTTGTTCTTTACCATAACCAAATATAAACAAGACATTAACATGACAAAATCTCACCACCTTGTATGTTTAAGTACAAATTGTTACATCCACCTGACTCCCAACGCTAGCCATCCACAAAAATGAGAGATTATAACAATATGTCACCACCACAAATGATGACATATTGTTCAAAACATACATAAATAGTTATAATGACTTGATAAACTACATGTATTTACGAATATTTGCTGTAGGTTCTCATTAAAGACCTAGTTATTTTTGTTTATGAATGAACTAGCATTACATTGTAGGACAATTTATCCAACCTATAGCCAATTTTATGATTTTTCAAGGTCAGGAGAGGATATCTTGAGAAGTAGGTTATTGAGGGATACAAAGAAGCATTCCTGAAATATTAAATCAATCTTTAAGGGGGTTGTCTTGAAATGCAAAAACAAGAAAAGTGAATTAAATGGTCCATGTTAACACATTTTTACACAATATTAAGCCTATATATATAAGAGGATGAATCATACAATATCAATCTAATGTAATGTTGAACATATTGATTTCTGAATTGACAAAGCATGAAAAAACCAACCTATGCGTCAAATTTGATATGATAGGAAGACAGGAAACACCATTGTGACAAGCCATACCTTTTCCATCTCTGTCCTTCTGAGATGCACAGTGAGAGAGATGCTATGAACATCAGAGTGGGAAAACACCGGATCTAACTATATTTTGAGCTGGCAATCTTAACAAAGAGGACTCCTCAAGAGGGGGTAGTGTCTGACTTCTTGAGCCACTCTTAGAAATTAAATATATCTTTTTGTTCATCATATTTTGTCTAGCTTATATAATCTTTATAGTCAATCTATATACAGTTTAGTCAATCAAATGTTTTCAATTGTCTGTTTTGTCCTTTTATTGGATTACTTGTTAGAATATTCTTAAAGTTTATTCAGAATAAATTGATAAATTGTCAATTTTTTCATGATATTCTTCTCATTATAAAGCTTTAATTCTTTAATTTCAAGAACCCCTCAGCCACATTCTGTCACATGTATAGCAGCAATGCGACCTTGTCACTATACTCTTTGCGGAACCTCATCAAATGCAGGCCGATTTCAGGTCTGCCTTATTAGGTGAACATCTGCCTATGAGTGAACTTGACCACTGAAGATAACTGATAAAGCGTTTGTATAATCAACGCAAAGACAATCAATGGTGTGCCTTGGAATAAATGTTGTAATTAGCTTAACTTGATACATTAGGTAAGACTGGAAAATCCCTTCTTAAAGTGGATTCTTAAAGAAATCCATGTGGACAATGGCGTGCCTGGGAAAGTGTTATGTGTTATCACGAGAAAACAGCATCTCCATGGAGAAGTATATCCCACCAAACAATATTTTAATAGACAACTTGTCATTTTGGATATTACATAGTAGAAATACTACCAGGAAATAGTTGATTAGTATTGTCGACCTTTTGACAAAATCTACACCCATGATGTAATGGGATGCCATTATTAAATTCTTTCTTCAGCAGAGGTCTTATAACCATGAAGCCATAAATGGCAGCCATTTTGTATGAATGGCCATATTGGACGGATAGACAAACAGACAGCTTCTCTATATCCCTCTTGATTTTCCTTCAATGGAAGCCATTTAATTACATGATATTCCATTTTGTTCAAGCATTCATCATTTCTTTTGTATTTTATCTAAGACTTTTACAGTGTTAGTATCCTTACACTGAACTTATCATAAATGAAGTCAATTTTCAACAGACCGTCACAAAAACATCAAAGTTCTAAATCATCATCTCTGTAAGATGGACTCGTATATCATAACATGACTTTCATGTCAAATATGGATATATTTGTTTTAAAAATGTACATATTAATTATGGAGGTATTTTACAGTATCTGTAAACTACTAATTAAGTTTCATTTTCCAAATTTTAAAGCTTCTCCAAGCATTGTATTTATTGCATATACTAGATATATTTAACATATTCAGAACATTCCATAAAGCCTACAAATCCTTTGAAGCCCTAAAAGAAGCTCAAGAAGATTCCGAAATAAGAATAAACAGTTTGAATAATGAAACTAAGTACAAGTTTGAATGATCACCCACGCATTGACTCTGCAATAACCTTGAGGAATAATTACATATGCAATAATACACACATTATCTTAATAAAATCTTAATTCCCAATTACCAGAATGCCAAAATTCTGAATTAATAATTATTATATTTATTGATGAAAATCAAGATCAATTCTACTTGCATATTGTCAGATATAAATATACAAATGTAAACCATTATACTGTAAGATAATGTTATGAAAACATAGAAACATAAAACATAATAAAATATTCTTAATGATAATAAAGATATAAATATCCAGCCTACAAGCCTAAAGATAAACTGTAACAGTACATGATCTGTAGTGTGTCTCCCTGGACGTAAATCTGCTCGAGTAGACATGTCTTTAAGCAATTAACAGAGAAAACTATGGTAAAAGGGCAATTACTACATCACTTTCATATAATACAAAGCTGGCACAGGGTTAACAATATTGCACGCACGAGTAGATAGTAATGGAGAGGTGTAGTTTGTTATCAGTCGGAAATAAGGTAATCAGTTGTAGATTTTTATGCTAACGAAACTAACGAACTCCATTAAAAATACATGTATGAAATCATATCATTATAGTGTTATGTTACCTAGAGATGTGTACAGTTAAGGACAAGTCAAAAAGTTCCACATATATTGTTTAAGAGGTTTTGAAAAGCGGCGGCTATTTTGAGTTGAACAGTGATATTGACATTAACCTTTAAATTACTTGCATTTATGTCATAAAAATTACACCTTTTCATAAAATGGTGGCCATTTTGAATTCATTGCCCATCTTGGTAATTTCTTATTATCCCTTCAAGGCATCACCTTATAATTTTGAAACAAATCTGCAATCAGGTTTGAACCAATCCAGAATTTGTGTTCTTGCTCATACAGTTTAATGGAATGACAGATGAACAGACAGACAATCAGTTTCTCTATATCCCTCCTGAATTTTATTTGGTGGAATATATTCAATTCGAGTATTCATAACATATAAAGAAAACTTTCAATTTGTTTATTTAACATTAACATACGAGTATAAAGAAAACTTTCATCCAAAGAGGTAGTATTTATACTACACATAACAAAATTTTCTTTCTAATTCTCATCAACATCACGAATTACCATAACATGCCATGTCTCTAATTTGGAAATCAATTTACAACATATAGGGTCAGATTGTGTCGACTACTGAAAGTTTTTTCCCATTAGGGGGCCCCCAAAGGGATATGTGAAATGGTGACCAGTAGATTTATTAGAAAATGTAAGTCTCATGCCTGTGAAGGTTTTCAATGAACCAATCAAAGAGTCCACATATTTGTTTCACCAGCTGTCACATTTATAAGGGCCTATAATGGGTCTTAATGGAGTTTCTATTAAAGGACCCCTCATGTTTATCTTACATAATCATAATAAGGTATCAATTCTCTGCCCATTATGCCATATGTACTCCCCATCTCCCACATTTATCTATTTCTCCTAACCCATGATCTGAAATAATGGGGATGGGGACACACAGAATAACGACAAAAACTGGATGTATTCTTTTTTCAATACTTACCAAAGCATATTATGATGGTTGCTATGAACATAAGGGTCACTACACTGGCTAATATGACAGCAATGATGGCCCCTAATGGTATTCCCTTGTCTATCTTGGTAGCTACAGCTGAAAGATAGAAAACATGTTGTTATACAGGATATGTCTGAATGGTTTCTCCACAAACACACAAACACCAGTAAGTATATATTTGAGGATATATCGATTATCCTTTACAAGGTTCAGGATATTGGGATTATCCTGAGACCAATATAATATATCCTAGATCCCTCAAACAAGTACAAGTATGAGATAAGTTTTCTAACTGTAACAGAACACCCCCAAAATGAAATCCTTTTTAGTAGAATCAAGATTGTTCCACTTGTATAGGTTTACTATACTGGATGATGGATGATGGAAATAGAGACCCTTCTGAATGTCTTATTTACATTTACCCCAGACATAAGTTACATCTTACATATAACATGTATATAAACCTTCCATCAATGCTGCATGGTTAAAATCACATTTACTATTAAGGTAGGACTCGTTGGATGGCTTTGGTCCTGTAAGTGATTCTATTGATGAGTCTAATAACTCTTTTTACTCATACTCATCCTACCTTGATACAAACAGAGATTTTTCCCCTAAAGAGTATTCTCTCTTTTAATACCTAGATATTGACCAACAAAGTATCAAAGTTAAATGTCTTTATTGCATAATGTACATGTATCTGAAAAAAAATTTTGATATGACTTATCAACAATATAGTTTATTGAAAATTGAATGGTCTGTTAACCTTAACCTCTTCAGCAATTATTTGTATTTTTCAATCAAAGCTATTCATGATTTTTGATTTATATTCTTTTCAGATTATTGTTCATTATTAAACCTCCATAAATAAATCTGAACAATTGAATGTGATGAAACAATTGATGTGTATGTGACATATAAGACGACCCTAGCATGTGGCACAGAAAATCTACATGGGCATAGGACAGTAGAAAGATTAATATACAGGGTGGGCCAAAAAACAATACCCAAGGTTAAACATGAACGATTCATATGATATACATTAAACCATGCCATGTATTATATATCATTTTAAAGATAAATCATTTCCTTATAAAATGACATCATCCAATTGAAAAACCATTGTTTTCTCGTGGAGTTAGAGACCAAAATTGACACCAGGGGTGCCGTTAGTAACCAAAAATCAAAAAATGAAAATTCTCAAATTTCTCATATTGCAGTCACAGCTGCACTCAATATGCTTGACTGAAGAATCATCATCAATTTATTTAAGAGTAATACACAATTGATAACCAATTAAAAATAATAAAGTATTATTGCAGAATTTTGCACTATACTTGTACAAATGTACCTCTTTTGAAGGTGCCAAAGTTCAAATTTCCCTCCATTTTCCACAATTTGGAAATCAGCAGTGAATAATTGTTTGGTCGCTCATGACACCCCTGGTGCTATTTTAGCCTCTAACTCCACAAGAAAACAATGGTTTTTGAATCAGATGTTGTCATATTGTTAGGAAATGATTAATCTTTAAAATGATATACAATACATGGCACAGAATTTATTTTCATTTTTTTCGTCTTCATATCTTTTGACCTGTGAAGGTCTGATGCAATTATCACGGAATATAACGATCGATGTACGACGGCTATAGGAGTGAAGTCTAGAGAGTTGCCCAAATGTGACTGACAAAAGCCAAGATTCATATGAATTTTTTCAAAGAATTCTGTAATAAATAGTTAATGAAAACACAGAATGAAATTCTGTGCAAAGGGCTGATGTGAAAAAGTCACTTGTACTTAATAACGATGGGATTTCTAATAACTAATGATTTGACAATAGATGTTTCGATCAGCAGCAACAACACCAACAGTTGAAATTAACGAATAAAAAAAAGCTGACATTGCCATCTGATGCTACTTTCCACATAATGCAACAATGTAAATGAATCAAATGACAAGGTTTATCTAACATATCATATTATATCTTGTGACACCCGGTTGATGTGCCTGCATTAGATAATTTCAAAAATGCATATGTTTAAAATAAAATGCTTTAATCATCCATGTTGGGATCTAATTCACAACAGTAAATACTGTATAAGTGGTAATTTTGCCTAATCATTTAATTTCCTATTTCCTAATTTTTGCCAGGTTCGTAAAATTAAATGTCGGAAATATTGTCTTTATAATGTTATCCAATGGGAGGTTTCTTGTCATTAGGAAAATTAAAATTAGGAAAATGATGAAATTTGACCATTCGGAAAATTAACCACTCGGATTAAATACCACTTATACAGTATGACGTGATTAATACATGAACAAGAGGGATTGTAAATGGCTTATCAAATGCTAAGTTCTATGGGTGAGCTTTAAACATTGCACTTGTTGCCTTAAAATTAAAAAAATGCTTGACAATAAAGGGCCAATAAAGTAAATATGATCAATTTCTATACAGGTACATGCATGACTTGTTCACCTAGTAGAAGCAACTTTATAGTCATATAAAAAGTACTCATTCAAGGGATTTGGTACATCTCAAAAAAAGATCTGTTTTGTACAAGACTAAAATTTGAGCCTTGAACCATATATATACATAAACATAAACATTATTCTCTTGAAAGTCAATAATATAAAGGAAGGTCATAGTCTGTCAATATAATAAATTATGTTTTTATGCTTTTTGTTAAATGGGAATTATTTAAAGATTGAATCTTAACTGTGTAATAATTGTACTTTATATGTGTATGCTTGGAAATCTTAGTAGTTTTTTATTAGAAGTTATTTTTTACGTTTAACAAAAGCTTGATTGTCTGATAATTAATAAAACATTAAATTATCTCCACTCATCTATATTCATGCATGCATGCACAAATATGTGTTTTTACAAAGATATTCATGTTTGGTTACATTTCTTTTTTTGCCTATTTAGAATTGCAAAATGAAAATGGGATAAATTACAAAACATTCAGCATACTTTGTATAGATTTCACCTTAAGGGATCATCAGTAATACCATGGTCACCTCATTTGCAGTCAGAAAAGAATGTGCAACTGCCTGGTACACCAGTACAATGCATATGGACATGAATTAAGGATTTAAGCCTTGGACTCGGTGCATTGTGTGCTGAACCATTCCACGAAGATGTTGTTTCCAAATCTTTGCATGAGCCCATAGGGGGAATGCAAAGTTTAGGAAACAACATCTGAGTGGAATGAAACAAATGCGTAATTGATATTTCACACACTGTTCATTATGTGAATACTCTGTTTGGATTGGCTGGAATTAGACGCACCTTGCCTAGCTATGTGTGAATTATAGAAATATAGACCAAAGACCAGGTTTTATATCCAGGAATAAATACCACAGGACTTAAGGCACATACATTTTCTGTATGAAAGCTTTTGTGCCTAGCCCTAAGGTATTTATTACTCAATATAATACCTAATCTGAGGTCTAGATTACAATTCGATCATGAAAACTCACCAAAATTTTGCAAAACTGTCACTCAATTTCCTATTCTTCCGGTTAAGCATTTAGCACTGAATGAAACACTTTGTACAGAGAAGGTATTGTATTGACAAATAAATACCAGGTGAAATATTGACTTTGTTCACAGTTTATAGAAGGCGTAAATACAGTGATGTTCATATCTCTAATCAAGTCTTGAGAATTTGCCTAAGTAAACAGTCACTTAAAGCCACGGAAATCACTTGGTTTGAATACAAACCAGGCACTTATTCTAATAACAGACAGGGGAATTGAGGAAATATCTTCGGGAAACTTATAGGTCATGACGTTTTAAAGCTTTTCAGTAGGATGATCTCCATTGCACCGTAAAATCAATAATTCATCAGAAATCTATTTAGCAACTCAATTCGTTGTTTTCCAAGCATGTAAGTATACTTTGTCACTTTTTTAAAAACAAACATGGAAATGAGGGATTTGGTCATATACTGTTTACTCCGAGAAATCTGGTACCTTTTCATTTGACATTTTGACTGGGGAACAATATGTTGTTTTCATACAAATTTATTTGTTTATTCATTTGTATAATTAGGAAATGGAGTACTGTAATTGAAATCCTCGTTTTTCTTGAAGTATGCTCAATAGATTATTCACTTAATCTTATTTTCTATGCCTCCTACATAATATCAACATACGGTTTATCTTAGTTGCTCCTGAGACAACTTTCAATTTCACTCTTGGGAAGTAATGATATTGAGTCTATAATGGCCTCCTATCTTATCTCTGGCATTTGAAAAACAACACATTCCTATGTTAAAAACATAAAATATATTCATTTTATTTTATAGAGCTTGATAATAAGCTTATTTTTGTTAATAATGGTCATTATATACTACTAGCTGTCACTGGGTATTCATTAACATGGTCATGGCACCCTAAACTGTATCTAGGAATAAATTCAATGGCAGTCACGATTACATTAGTGTATCTTCTGTAAGTAAAGGATACATATCATGAATAAAATTCAACGAGTCCAGGAAATTTGCTGATTTATGTTGTAAAGAAACTCAATAAGGAGAGCTTCATGCATTTCTAATATCAGATATCAGTTGCTAAATTGTTTCTTCCTTGAAAATGAAGATACAGGGTTACACATCTAGACTGAAACATACTTTTTAAAGTAGCTTATTTGTACACAAACAAAATATATCATTTGTTGGTGAACATTATGATATTGACCTTTTTAATTTCTTGGTTACTGCTTTAAGAAGAGATTATCACACCATTTTTAAATGTTCCATTTGATTTACTGGTATGGTTAGAATGGGTTAATAAGGCTTTTATTATCTATAAAAAATGAATAAATTTATTCTAGGTTTTCCAGTATGTGGACATTGCAATTTGCCAAGGCATTTATGTAGTTATATCCTAGTTATTATATCAATGGTATCTATTTTCATCTATCATTTATTAAAAGTCCCATGGAAAATGTATATTCTAGTCCCAACGAAGGTGCGATTAATTTTGTGATACAGCTGTATGTCTTTCAGATCTCAAAAGATGGTTTTCAACAACTAGTTTAACTGATATGTTGAATTATTAGTTTGTTCTAAAGTAGCCTTTTGCAGACCA